AAGAAATAATATTGAATCTTCATTTGTAAAAAGAAGTGAATTAGATAATGTTAATGTAAGTTTAAGTTTATATAAATTAGATAGCTTTATATTTGGTAAGATTTGCGATAGATATAAAATGATGCAAAGAATAATTGCAGGCGATGAGTCACAATAACGTGGCTGAAGTATGTTGATCAATCCACACACTAGAAAATAAGGGGACGACGACGTTTCGGTCCGTCCTAGACCATTCTCAAGTCAGCTTAAAGAATAATTGTTTGTGTAGGACATTCCAAGAAATAGGGAATAGCCTATCCCCATTCAATCATGTCACTTCCATTATTCCATATTTGGTTTATGGATCGTAATCTACTCCGGTGTAGTGGGATATTTAACCCTAGCCCCATGTTGTTAATTTTGTGGCCTTCAAACACTCATGGTATGAGTTAAATAATAGCTCTAGGATGATTTTTGTCGAGCTGTGTTGAACTGTCTCCATAACAGAAAAACAGATACAGTATGTTGTTTTGAAGGTGAGGGCTCCACATTAGGATACATCAATTTAGATAGGAGCACATCAGAGAATTGTTCAGTTAAATAATCATTCTTTTCCGTCGTTAAAAGCTCGTTTAACAATTTCTAAGGTTTGGTTCTATATATTTTTACTGCATCTCCCACATGTGCAACTTTCAATGACTGGTGGATCCTAACTCCTTGGTCATATTTACTTGAATTTACCCAAGAGCCACCATTTCCCTGTAATGGTCTCTACAGGAACAGGAAGCCGGCGGCTTGTCAAATCTAGGTACCCTATGGTTCCTGATGATTTTTTCTAACTTCATTTTGAGCGACCACACATTTTGGCATTAAAGACAGTTTGATAATATGCTCTACGTATCTTCTAGCTAAGATGTGAATAAGATATTTATATTGTATATTATTTAATAAAGAAAAAACCTAATCATTTAAGTGGCATGTAATGTTTACCAATAAGTCGTACTAGGTTTATTTTGTATGGGTTAGTGTGTTAATGGGTAGGGGTAGTGGAGAGGTCATATCAGACTGGCAATTGTGTACATAAATGTGGTAGATCTTAATGGCTTTCATCTTGCTTAATCTGCTGTTTAAAATGGATTTACCTGTAAAATCCTCATTCGTGACCATGTAACCAGTAGGCTTCTATCATTGATTTAGGGGTTATAGATCATACAATGTAATTATGTTGTTTTAAGTAATTTAGACGAATAGACAGCTAAATAGCTCAGTACTTCTAACCAAGATTGAGTGAGAATGTCTGATCTACAAACGCTTAAATAACGTACGGGTTGGTCAGTTTGCCCCGTCAGCTTCTTTTGCCGTTTTCTCTGATCTTCGCTGTGCCGTAGGTGGGACTGGAGTCACTCCAGTATTCCACCGTCGCCCACTCTAGATAACAAGGTAGTAGAGTCCAAGAATTGGGGAAGACGGTGCACACAATTCGTCCTGTGCGACCCACCATGATGATAGTTTCGTCACTGTCGCTTATGTTGTCATCTGAGCGCTCAAATCTGGAGATGGTACTGGTAGTATTCACCTAGTTGTGCTTGCAGGGGTTGAGCTTCGGTTCTTTAGTCCAGACTCTCGACTGCCAATCAAATTGTGCACAGGTTTGCGAACCTATGGGAATCTATTATATCTACATAGGATTATATCCCCCCATGGTACCGCCTACCCGCCGGAGCCATAAATGCCAAGACATAATTGTTCAGAATCCAGCAAGATAAAAATCATCAGGAAAAATGGGGCCTGTCCCCATCGAGGCCACTAGAGATGACCCACAGGTAAACTGAGGTAGATTTAAAACTGTGCATGGAGTCTGCCTCCACTACATCACTTCCTAGTGCATTCCATTTGTTAACTAATTTTGATGGTGATCAAAATCTTTCTAAAGTGTTTGTGGGTCATTTGGGTACTAAGTTTGTTAGACAAAGTTTGTCTTTGTTAGACCAATATTGGAATCCACACCTGTAAAACAAAACCTAAATTGAAAAAGTAGTTAAGTTTGCAAAAGGATTCGTACCAGAGGTAAGAGGGCCGAGTTGTGAAGACGGGGGAACTACAGCCCTCACAACCCTTCAAGAGGAGAGAGAGAGAGGTGACATGACAACCACAGATTTCTGTGTTTAAAGGAGACACGCCCTAGAATGTGGACTGTTTGATCGTAAAAAGTCTAAAAATTACTTTTATTATAAAAAATTTGTATTACTAAAATTAGTAATAAAATCATAAGTATATATAGTTACATATACAAATATGGTAACTATTATAAGTGACTAAGTAACTTGTAAAAAAAATAAGTTATTTTCTGCTTGTAACTTTAATGTATTAGTTATCATATTTGCTAAGAAACTATATTAAAAGTAACTATGTAAGTTACATAATAATAACAAAGTAACAAAAGGTAGCCATTTAAATGGTTACAAAGAGGAGAATCTTATTTGTTACTAAGTACAATTTACAGCTAAGCTTAGTTGATTTGCATGTGCTTTCCTCCTCACAGAAATTTATCCGCTTTCCAAGCAGGTTCATTTCTTCAAATTGAGAGAAAGTCGGACGATAGGAGTTAAATGGAACCAAGAAACGCAAATGAGTAAGAAATAAGGAAATGCTCGCACCCTGTATGGGAGGGGAACAAGTGCAATGCACTGAAGTTGTAGAAGCCACCTCCATCCACAACCTCAGGACTAGCTTCAACAAAGTATTCGATCGCCAGATTACCGAAATTAGAACGCAACACGTACAACAAGGCTGTAGGGCTTACAGAGCTAGAATTCACTTCCCCTGGAAACTTGATAGGTAAATAACAGGATAGCAGCAAAATCTAAATGTCTTTGAAATATATAATTTACGATTGCAAGGATTTACATCACTCTCTTTACTCTACCCTGATAGTTCCCTTCACTAAAGCTTTAAGCCATGACAACTATACAGCACTGGGAAGGAATCAGGATAGAATTTTGGGGATGGGACGGGGTGGAAAGAATAGTGCCCAATCATGGATATCCAAAGTTATGTTTTCTATGGTACCCTTCGACAGAATAAGTGGTTCGTAGTCGATTTAAATAGTGTCCCCAACCCCACAGCTCGTGTGTTTGATCACTGTACGTCAGCAATGCTGTATATTCATAATCTGAGGTAGCCTCATTTACATGCAACAGTCAACATTTACCCCCTTTTAGTTGCATGGCATCCTGTACGAGTTGCACCCAGTGATAGTATTCAACGATCTCGTCGTTTCAGTGTTTATAGCAATAATACAAACACTGGCGGTCAGGTTGATGTTGCTGCTATGTGATAACACGTTCCAACCCCCACTGAATGGCTAGCGTCTGTTTTCTAAGATTCTGTTCCTGGTTCAGTCTCAAACTATAGCGCTAGTTTGTGTCCGATCCATCTGTGGAGTCATAGGCAGTTTACACAATTCTCTATTTAGTGGACACTCATTACATTCGATATTATAAATTTATTTGATAGGTGGACGAACTGTGCAATAAACCCTGTTGCCATTTATTATAAGACTAACTGTACCCGGCCACACGTTGCTGTGGTTCAGCAACGCACATGCGAAAATTAATTGTAACTTAGTATTGCGAATGTTGCTCCTACGTCCAACAGATGGCGCCGTTAAACAAAAATAAAAAAATTAATGTCATAGGTGAGGCATGTATATAGCAAGTATATAAAAACTTTCTCGAATGCAACGTTGTGTCAAAATTTCAAAGCAATCGGTAAAAAGGTTAAGATTACCTTCACATGAAAGTATATAAAAAAAAAAAAAAAAAAAAAAAAAAAAAAAAAAGTTTCCTCGTCACAGACGTGTCATCTATATAGTTTGTATATAAAAACCTGCTCGGATGCGAATGGAACCGTGTCAAAATTTCAAAGCAATCAGTGAAGAACTTTCGGAGATCAGCGATTTTGAACAAACGAACATTTCCATTTTTATTTATATAGATTTGTATTCACATGATTATCTTTAAGCTCAAAAATCTAGACATGGTAACAAACCATAAATTGCATTTATGGTTATTGCATTTATTATAACAAACCATTTATTACATAAATTGTTCTGGACTACATACAGCTGGCTTGGTAATCTTAAAACACATTCCTTCGTGATCAAATCTTAACAGATTGCCTTATTACAGCTTTGAGTGTATAGCCAACAGTCGGTAAAAACTAAGATGCATTTGCACCCATCACCAGTAAACAACATTCTCACAATTTGAATGTGTAAATAATCGCAAAGATAAATAACATCCAAATTATATATCATAAATGCTGACGAAAATACTCTTAAATTCAAATAATTAAAGCTTTAAGGATGGCAAACTAAATTTCATCGTCAGTGGTGAGCATTTTTATCAGCTCTTAGAAAGAAAAATATAATTTCATTCAATCACCAGAATTTTGAACGATACATTTTAGACAAACAAATTTGCGAGTTATGGTTCAGAGAGTTTAAAACAATATGATTAAGTCTTGAAGATAATATATCACTGGGTAATATTGTGTTCCTTAGGCTTTCAATTAAATTATAAAAATTATCACGCATGGTTTATTTCAATTAGTTAACTATTATATTAAATATAAGTTACATTTACTCAAATCTCAAGTTTCAGAAGTAGGCCTTCAGGTTCCGATGATGACAGGGTTGGGAGGCACGAGGATAAGGCGGCAGAAGAGTACAGTGATGGCCCAACCGCTATATACTCAATACTGTGCAGTTGACTTTGGCTCAGTTAATATCTCTTAGCGTGTTTCATAGTGGCGGTCTTCCTAGTGGTGACATTAGCAAAACCCCGTAATGTGTCGTTTTGCGTTGGGGTGTTATACGTCTCCTCGTGGCATTCACGGTGGACCATGTCCGGGGTTTAGCAAGATACTGTCGCAGTAGTCGTGGATGGTCTGTGCTTTGACGTCGCTACGAATTCTCCAGTTTCATTTCCACCAGATATTTGTCGAAAGGCGAGCTTTATGTCAAGAGAACGAAGGGTATTAGCAAGATTTCAGTTCGGATATGAAAGGCAGAGCACAGGGGTACTAGTGGTGGAAAAGGGGTTTGGGATGAAAAATTTCTTTTAGCTTTAAAATAGGCACAGTTAAGAAAATGCAAAGAGTAACCAAGGCGAGAAAAAGATTAGTAAATAAAGGAAATTTCAGAATCAAGAAACCGAGGGTCACTAATGTGTAGAGCACGGAGGAAGAGACGAGAACGCTTTTCTTAACAGGAGGATGGTAGGAAAATAAGTGTACATACGTGGGTTTGCGGTAGACAAACTTGACACGGCTGTGAACATGAACGTTAAAAAAGTAAGGAGGGAATTAGATTCCCATTCAACTTTGAAATGGATAGCGAGAGCCAGATTGTTAAGGAGAGGAAAGGCTGGAAGGTCATTAGGCCATAAAGCAAAAAATGTCAACATAGCGAAGCCAGAAAGAGGGAAGAGTATCAATTGTGAGAAAAAGAACAGTTTCGAAATATTCCATATCAAGATTAGCAAGACCTGGGGAGGGGGATAGAGGGCAACCCATAGCGACCCCGAAAGTTAGAAGTATTTTCCGTTGAAAAAGAAGGAATTAGAGTCAACACAGTCTGATGAATTAAAGGAAAACGTTAGTGGGGAGCGAGAGATGAAGGCCCTCCGTTGCCTTATGATTAAGGAAAGAGTCATCAAGGAGAACATTAGTAAACAATCTACACCGACTAAGCATCTTAGAAGAGGGCCGCAGGAGCAGTTTATTTAGGAAGTCCTGAGAGTGACGAAGGTGGGCAGGAGAAAGTGCCAAGATAAGTAGCCGACAGAGCCCCTTTAAGAAATTTCAGGACGAAGAGGAACACCAGGTCTAAGTCTTAGGTAGAATATAGAAATAAGGAAGATAATGGCAGATGACAAACGTTTAATTTGTCGTCCTGACTTCGATCCAAGCCTAGAGAGCCGTCATGGTTCACGGTTGAAGGAAGTTTTAAGGCGATCCAAAGTGTTAGAAGCCAGACGAGGACATGTGCGGGAGTCAGAGAGCAAGACTATCAGCTTTCTGGGGGAAATCCACTGTCAAGGCCAACCACCGAGTTGCCTTTGTCGGAAGGAAGGATAAGAATAGAGAGTTGTTAGCTTTCAGGGAGGCAAGGGTAAGCTGAAAGAGACACGGAAGGTGATTTTTAGAAACTCAAGAATGGGTATAAGGCCCCCCCCCCCCCATGAAGGAAGACCGGTCCGATAGAGTACTAGAGTTAGGGTTGACAAACTTAGCAAAAGAACTAATTAGGTAAATGCCACAGCGAAAGCCAGAGGAAGTAACAAGCGACCAAATCCTAGACGTTCTTGCTGGTACTTAGAGGGGGGAAAAAGAAAGGTTGGTAACAGTCGGAGTGTATTTAGCCCAAATACTGTTGGAAATCAGACGTTGAAGTTTGTCGTGTAGTGTGGAGGAGTGGTGAGAAGAGAGGCGAGCAGTGTTAAAAAGAGACGGGAAATACAGGATTACATAGATCATTGAAGAGAAGACAGAAAACGGTGTTGACGTACTGTTAGAAAAGCATAGTCAACTTGCAAGGATTTTGAGTGAACAAGTTCTTGAAGTAGAAGGCGGGCATGTTCAGAAGGTTTACGGGCTCACCATAGGCCGTGCTACATGGACACTTCGTTCTGAGTAATTAAATCAGAAACGACAACATGTTCAGAAAAAGTATAGCCCCGAAGTGTTAATTGGAGAAAGTGAGATAAGGAACGAGGGAGAACTTGCTCCGGAAGACAGTCTAAGAAACCTAAGCTGGTTCTTGCGACTCTTTGCGATAACAAGGGAAGACCAAGGCGCTAAACGGCTGTTTAAAGGAAGGTAGGGAATTTAAGAAGTTAAATAGCAAGACGCTTACGCGTGGCATACATGTGCAGAAGAGTCACTAACGTGGCTCAAGATATGAAGACAAAACCACACATCGTCGTAGTGTCATTTTCTGTTACGTGGTTAGTTAAAGTGACTTTATGAGACAAAGTTCATCTGTCGGTAGGAGCTTTCGTCGTGATGCTGCAGATCTTAAAAACTTTCACTCTTCGTGACCGTGGGTTCCGCATCTTAACCTTCATTGTACCATATTGGAATCATGAAGTAGATTAACTCGGCTGCTACCCCCGTCCTCAACGGGTAGCAGTACCGCTGCAAGAGTGCACCAGCCGTGATCGGGTCTCTTCTCACCTGTCATAACAGGCGGACACGATTGTTTGTTCGTTAGTGAATGCCAATAGCGTTGTGCGCCACCTGCAGGGAATACTGAACGTTAGTATTCAAAACCATTAGTCAAGCTACAAACCTATCTACTCCCCCATATCATCCTTCAAATCATACAAATTTTTATAAATTACACATTACTTCGAATGTAATTTATGGAAAGTTAAACTATATTCAGAGGGTTCACGGAAAGCTTCAAGTTGTAGTACCAAATCAAACTACTTTATTTCGAACCTTTTCCCAATGGTGTTCCAATGGCTAACTAAGTTGTCAGTACCCAGGTATACTGCGCCCCCTACTGCTTAATGGATGACTGCTTGGCTTCACCAATGTCATTCTGTTGATGAAAAAGAAGTGCATGAACCAACGAGGTGTGAAATTTATCATTTTAAAATTGCCACGAAGAAAGGAATTTTATATTATCTAACCTACTATAAAAAATTTAGGATTTTTTTTAGTGCATTTATTAACACTCCCTGGATAGCCACTATTATAGGAACTAAATCCTACATTTTTATTGTGAAGAGAAATTAATTTTCTATATACACGGGTTTCATATTTAAACCCATTTTGTTTAGCTAGCCATGTTGGCGATTCACTTCCCGAGCTCATCATGTGCTTAACTTTCCCCAACTACCCACCCACTCTTGCCCCGATGGGTAAAGGGGGTATAATATCAGGATGAACTAATATATAAAACACGCGTTAAGAATGAGTTGACTAAGTAAGTATGATAACTATTGTAATATTAAAGTCAGGTATTTCGAGCTATGCCTGCACAGTAACCACATGTCCGCCTCCGCTACTATGCGTCTCACTCTAGTACTATTTAACATTTTCTACTGTAATGTCTAAATTCTGCATTTTCCTACGCAATTACCTTCATGAATTTAAAATATTTCCTTACGGACAAACTTTAGTATACCTACTTCTCGCAACACCACTGTCACAGACTTCCCACATGACTAAATTACAAACGTTGCCCAATGTTCTTACAGAGTCTTATTACTTGGCTCTTTACTTTGATATCTTCTGATCGGGCTTTATGATGGGCGCAGGTATTCGTCCAAATCATATAGCACAGTTCAGAGTCTAAGTAGTCCATGTACTAGGTCAGAACCAGCTATTACCAGTCAAACATGTATATAATGCTTGTGTATATACACGTGCCTTTATAAAAGACCATCACCGACTTTACAATAACCGATTTTGTACTCTACGCCCGGCACCCAAATTTACCGGAACCACTATTTGCCTCAGAACAGAAAGCAGACTGTCTCAGGTCCCACCTCATCCATCTGTTAGTTTTAAATTCCAGGTATATAAAATAATGCCGTATTTCGGCATTTATGGCTATCGCGGGTATGCGGTTCTATGAACCTACGAGTGAAAAACCATGTTACCTGTCGTGCAGTTTAGCTCAAGCTTAAACCGTTGATCATGTTACATTTGACATTCTAAGAGTAGTATGGACCAAAAACCATGAAGTATTCTAGTATTTAAAAAATTTGACACGAGACGTGTCATATGTCTGCTTTGCAGTGTTAGTTCTGTGGCCTTCAACTGTTGAAAGATTAGTCAACTTTGTCCTAAAATGATTTTTTTTGAACTCTTGGGGCCCCCCCTCCCCCCTAGATAGTCCACCTGGGTTCGTTCTCTAGATTCAGTCGGGAATTCCAGGCGAGGACAAATGGTTGGGTGCGTTTTAGTATCACCTAATGCGCCTAATTCACCTAGCACTAAATACGTACCAGCCTGTTGTGGGGTTACATTCTGGGGAAGGTCAGTAGGTTGCCCTTTGGGGTAGGGGGGGGGGGACGTGACAAAAATAAATGCAAGTCTAACATTTATTAGTCTAACAACATTAGCAAGTCCAACATGTAATAATACACTGGCTGCCTATCCCCAGACACACTGAATTATTGTTATAACTATCTAAGACAACCTGGAGTATAGGTACTTACCGGCAGTCAGGGAGCTCTTGAGTGGTGCTGGTGCTGTGGACAGCGTCCACAGTTATTCTGAGAGTGGCGGCGAGGCGCGTCAACTTGTTGGGTTGGCAAGTTAGGCGGCGTTAACCAGCGAGGCTCGGGGCGTCGAGCGGCTACACATATGAAACCCTTATGCAAGTGCTGGGTTGACTTATGTTTATAATTATATTCATTTATATTGTCATAATTATTATTACAAGTGTATTCTAGTACTCGTAAAGAAATACTTTATTTAGAGGTGCTAACAATTTTAATATTTATTGGCGAATTGTCAAAGTACCGATTTTCCCATAGTCCAAGACGCACCCAAATTCGTTTTTGGTCGTTGCCCTTCATACCAACCTCTAGCCGTATGTGCCCTACCAATCCAAATTTGGAGAGGACGGTGAGCGTATATTCTGTTAGATTAAATTATCTGTTAGATTATAACGACCTGCCCGAAACGCTGCGCGTACTATAGTGGCTTTACAAGATTGTAAATACTATGCTAAGCATTCTCTCTAACCCAATGTACCTTCTTGTATATAAAAAAATAAATAAAATGACCGCTGCATTATGAAGGAATGCGGAGGAATTTCTGATGGAGGAGAAAGACAGTTGCACAGCGCGTTCCGCGGCGCAGCGCGCGGAGCGCCGTGGGGGCCTATATAAAGAAGAGAGGAGAAGTCATGCGTACACCATTTGGTCCGGGAGACATCTCCCGTCACGCAGGGTGCAGTCGCACCTCCACAGATCTCCAGTATCATCTATTGATACTGGTGATGGCTCAAAAGGGCCACCACTTACGAGCTATTTATGCCCGTGCCACCTTTTGGATTGCTTCATCTTCATCTTAAACACATTCATAAGGGAGACATCTCCCGTCATGCAGGGTGCATTCGCACCTCCACAGATCTCCAGTATCAGCTCTTGATACTGGTAATGGCTTAAAAGGGCCACCACTTACGGGCTATTCATGCCCGTGCCACCTTTTGGGTGGCTTAATCTTCATCAATCATCAGTCATGCGTTCACCATTTGGTCACCACTTGGTCCGGGAGACATCTCCCGTCACGCAGGGTGCAGTTGCGCCTCCACAGATCTCCAGTATCATCTTTTGATACTGGTAATGGCTCGAAAGGGCCACCACTTACGGGCTATTCATGCCCGTGCCACCTCTTGGGTGGCTTAATCTTCATCAATCAGTCATGCGTTCTCTCTTGCTCTAGTCACGCTCCGCTTCACAAGTCAAAAGAAAAAGTTATACATCATCACACTCCTTACCGATTCAACTGCCTCAACTATGCTGGATTAAAAAGATAGCAAATTTGTTATTTAAAATACTGTACGAGGGACTTCCTTACAGACACAGGTATTCACAGCAACCCTGCCCTCTGATCTCTACCCCGTAAGTACTATAATGTAGGCAAGGGCATTTAACGCTTCCCTTTCAGCTTCAAAAAAATTTAATGGTGCCTTTTACTTCATTACCTCAATGACGTGTTACAGGTCGGGTCTGGAGTGCCTCTCCCCCTATTTCCCTTGGACTACATTCTGTTAACTATGGCAGTTACATTTTCCTTCCACGGACATGCTACATGGGGGGCGTCCATGGCCCCCCCCCCCCTTCCATTCCCGGCGGGTTTTTTTATTCATGCCTATAATGGTTTATATGATTAAAAGTGTAAGTTTGTTGTTGATTCAGGTTTTACTTGGGCCAACATACCTGGTTTCACTTACGCTACCGGAAAAACACCCTCCCCCCCCCCCCCTTCCTCCACAGAATCATCGCGGAGGGGTCAACAGACACCCCTCGGGACGAGGAGAGCGGCGTGGAACGGCCTGCTCCCACCTGACGCAATCTGATTCAGCGGTCCGCTGCCCATTCATCCTACGAATTTTTTTTTTGTTTTTTTCCTAGGTTCCTGCTTAGGTACCCTGCCTAACATCGGGCTTACCATTAATATGTAATAATAGGCATTTACCCACAGCTTGCGTTAGTCGCACTCTGCCTTACCCGCGGTGGCCTAGACTGGGGAGTGTTACCCGTCTGTCATCACTTAAATTACCCCTAGAGTGTTCTTTTCCCCAATATCTGTTCAAGATCAATTCGGCTTGACCGCCTGGGCGTTGCAGTCTACGTCCCCGGTGCTGTCGGTTCAAGGTAGCCCACCCACTTCTTGACTTCAGTTCCTGCCGCTAAGGGTGAGCATGATAGCACGCCCTTAGTCCTCTCCTAGAAAGACGGCATCCACTGGACCTGTGGAACTGACTATACTCTATCCGGTATTATTACTCAAGCCTTAATCATAATAGTAACACACACATACATAATAACACATAATCAACACACTTTCACTTCCATGCGTTGTGTTTTTAGACTAACCCGCCAACAGTGGCCTTCAGGTGTATCCACAACTGTGATATTTAACATTTTGTGATTAACTGCAACATGAGTGCTTCATTTACTTTACGTTATCTAATTTATCATCATTACTATTTAACATACTTTGATTGTTCCGTCAGTGTATATGGTCTGTACAATGTTGTTTTCAGCTTGTTGCAAGGAGCCCTGTTCGTTTGGTTTTCGGAGCGTTTAATTTTCCCCCTGCTTTACCACACTGTCCTACTTATGCCACATGTTCACCCCTGCCAACCCTTACTGCAGTAATATTTCCAGAACGACTACAGACCATTGGGAAACACCTCATGGACGGGGAGCATTGGTTTGCGCCTGAAGAACACTCTCGATGAACTGCACGGATGGGCGAATGAAGGAACTACTCAGCTGCACTGGGGCCAGCCTCGCTAGGCTAGCTTCCGCGAGGGCGGGATACAGCGACGACGACGCCGACGAGGACGACCTGGCGTGGCGGTGCACAGCACGCGTAGCACGCATGAGAACGACTACAGACCATCGGGGAACACCTCATGGACGGAGAACATAGGATCGCGCACGATGAACACTCCCGACGGACGGCACGGATTGGCACACGCAGGACCTACTCGCCCGCCCTGGGGTCAACCTCACTGGGCTAGTCTCTGCAAGGGCGGGATACAGCAATGACGACGACACGAGGATGTCCTGGCGTGGCGGGGCATAGCACGCGAGGCATGCACGAGGTAATACGCCCACTACACGCGGACATAAACACGCCCGCCTTGTATACAGATGCACCAGAAGGGGCTCCATTGGTCACTTCCAGGATGCTGCTTACCTAGCAGCATTTACCAGCCATGTACGCCCGACTCTGTACCTTTTTTCAGTTCTGGAAATTCCTGTTTTTTTAACGGCAGAGGTAACGGGTGTACGGGCACGGATGTGGACGCAGACAAGGAAAAACTCCATGACACCCCGCGACGCAGAACTTGCGGCTACGCCATTCCTGGTGGCACGGCCCCCAACGTCAGATGAGAAGTCAACGCCCTACACGCTGATGCTCCTTACGCGGCCTGCGCCCTCCCAATGACTACGCCCCACATTCTTTCCGGATTGGACGGGCCACCCAGCTGTCACTTGACGGGCATGTACAGGAAACGATTAAGGCCGTCGGACGGTGGAGGAGTGACGTTTTCACTCGTCGCTTGACGTCACTTGACGTCAGGCAAGATGTCATCACGCTTCCACACTGAAAATATTCCGCGGCCAGCGGGCACTCGCCCTTGGGGGGGGGGGGGTCCGGCCTGCTGGCTCTGCGAGTGTGGGTGCAGCGCCGGCCCCTAAGTATTACGCTGTCCGCAGCTACTTACTCTGACTTGTAAGAGTAATGTTAAATTTGCCCTCTAGGTGTATTCTACAGCTACTGGTAATTTACGATTTCACATTATGTCTGGGATTGGCGCATTATTTCTGTCATGTGTTAGGCCACTATATGCTACTCTATAAGCCCTGATTCTACTTGAAAATTATGTTAAACGTTTGCCTTACTTGTACACATAGTTAATAAGGATTTGGCGTTCTGCAGACCATGTTTTATTTAGTTACCGGCTATAAGCATCTGTATTAATGTGATTAAGTTGTTGTAGTGTAGTCAAGTTATACATGTATTTATGCTGTTGTAAATTATAAAAGTTAACTGCTTCATTAACATGGTCTGCAAAAATTATTTGTTTCTACTATTAATTAAATAAATAGGTCCCCATGCTGTTAGTGTCTTATTCCTCCTAGATCAGAAATTACTTTTTACTAGTCATTTATTGGACTTAATTAACTGAGTGCTTTAATATTTCTTTAGGTCTTATCAATAATACGATCATAACTAAAATACTTATAGTTAATAATCTTTAGCTTAAATTTGCCTATGTTTATTATTCAACTTTTTCTTTGATTTCATTTATTACCTAGGTTGCCTAGCCTCGCCATACTCCCTTACTCCATTGTACCCCTGGCTTTGCCTGTGTCTCAATAATGCAAATTATTACTTAGTGTACCTGAGAGTACCTGTAATTAAGCCCCTGGTAAGCTACCTCATTTTTTTTCATTTTGTGTTTGTTTTGTATAGTCTTGTTTATATATTTTTCCCCCTTTTATATCAAAATTCTATTTTGTAATTTGCCATTCTTGCCTTGTTTTCCTGCAACCAGCCTTTTTATGCAGAAAAGTATAGACCCAGAACTAAACCTCTTATCCACTATCTATGACAATCATCACTTTAATGATCAAAATTGCAGATATTTTACAGCACATGCATGATGTAAACAATGTATTAACACATAATCACAATATCTCTGTAATCAACTTGAACGTTACATCATCGAAGTGTTTACCTAGGGATCTTAGTGCCTTGATTGAAACTATTGACAACAAATTTTCTTTTATTATACTTATTGAAACGTGGTTGAGAGAGGATACTACTCAACTCTTTAACATGCCTAACTACTCGGCAATTCACAACTGTCGTCAAATTCAGAGAGGTGGTGGTACTGCTCTTTACTACCACCAAGAACTAACATGCCTAAAGGTAATTAGAACTAGACTGCTGTGGGGAGTATATCTTCGCCTCTCTCTCTCTCTCCTTTGTCTCTCTCTCCTTGTCTCTCTCTCTCTCTCTCCTTTGTCTCTCCTTTCTCTCTCTCTCTCTCTCTCTCTCTCTCTCTCCTTTGTCTCTCCTTTCTCTCTCTCTCTCCTTTCTCTCTCTCTCTCTCCTCTCTGTCTCCTTCTTTCTAAATGCAATAATTATATCTAATAAATTCAACCTTTGCTCCAAAACGTTATATCATGACATTTAAAGTACGTTTTATTAAAACGTTTTGCCCTCACGTTTTAAAGTCGTCTATACAAATTCTCAAAATACGTATTTTATACGTAATTTAAAACGTGCCCAAAACAATGAAATGTCGTTTTTAGGACTTTTTTAAAACGTGAAAATGTTTGGTAGGATAGGTCAACAAATAAACCTATAGGGTACTCATTTTTGTCAAAATCTAAATATACTGCATACTTTTTGTTTTAAGTTCTTATTTGACCCTAATATCTGGGAAATTTGGAAAATCTGGGAAACCATGTTTCCCTTTATTTGATTACATTTATTTTCATAGTTGTTTGATTTGTCTTTTTTTCTATTACTTAGAAAGCATTGAAGAGTACCTCTTAGACAAGTCTTTGTATATTACCCTCCCTCCTGTATTTCTTCTCATATTCGTGTTTCATTAGTTTATTTGAATCTTGGCTTGTTGGTTCTTTTGGTTATGACTTGTTTACTTAACATGGGACAGTGAGTATTATAGAGGCTTAGTTTTGTGCACAAATATTTATACACCGAGATTGATGTTCTCTAAATTACCAAGTTCAGTCTCTCAGTTTATGTTACCAGCAGCGACAACGAAGTCGATTCAGTATGCAGTCTAAAGCTAATTTTCATATTTTCTAGTGCTGGTTAAAATAAATGTAGGGTAGTGTTCAGTTGAACTGCCAGTGATAATTCCAGAGGTTAAATTACGTCAGATGTGGTCAAGGGTGTCATTTCAGTTGGTCTGATTGGTTTAGTTATTCTGGGTAATAGCACAATATAATTCATACAGTTGAGAAAGATAGCAAGTACTGGTAAAGATCAGCATAAAAATCTCCTGTGTGTATTAGATGATATGGCACCCGTGTAAGGCTCCCACATATATGCACTTGTATATTATTTTCTGTTACCACTTTTCATTTTATTACTATCCAATATTAAAATGTTAAAAAAGTAGTCACAAGTTGTAGAGCTCCTCAGATTATTTCCAGTAACTATAAAAATGCAGTGGATATTTTTCATCTGTATTGCAACACTGAGGCACTAGGAAAGCAACCCTTTAGATAGTACCTATTGGGAGGACGTCAATAGTCAGAATTTGTACGTTCTTAGCTTTTAAATAGTAGTATGCTGACTAGTAAGGATTTTTTAAAATAAATGAAGCTAAAACACAAACTTAAATATTCCTAGGCTAGTATAGCACACATGTACTATATTAGGTCTCAGATATGGATATGGTTAGGATAGGTTAGTTCAGTTTGTCAAAGCAAGACAAGTAAAAAATAGTTTAATGGTTTGTCAAACTCAATAGTTCAGATTTTGGTTCTAATTTTGTTGTACATCGGAATATATATACTACGGTCCTCATCATTACTATAAGTACTACCAAAACAGGAGGATGGGCTGGGGAAAGGTAGATGGTAGTTTTGGGTCTCTTATTTTTTTTGTCTTCAACCCAGGTCCTTGAGAAAACTAGTGACAATTTTGGGATTTAGGAATGGGAAGGGCGCATTCCTTTACCCCGTCCCATCCCAAATCCTTATCTTAATCCCTTCCAAGTGCTATATTATATATAGCACTATAGTATTATAAGTGCTCAGCCCTTAGACCGTGGGGCATGACAGCTGGGTGGACAGTGCTCGGGATTCGTAGTCCTAATGGTCCGGGTTCAATCCCTGGTGGAGGTGGAAATAAATGGGCAGAGTTTCTTGCACCCTGATGCACTGTTCACCTAGCAGTAAATAGGTACCTTGGAGTTAGACAGGTGCTACACGCTACTTCCTGGGGATGTGTGTGTGTGAAAATTAGGATTAAGGACCTGCCTGAAATGCTATGCATGCCAAAGGCTGTACAAGAATATAAGAACTCTTGTATATATGAATAAAAATACAAAATAAATAAACATACAGTAGTCATAATGGCTTGACATGTTCACCTGATAGTTCCCATCCTATTTACACCAAGCACCAAATGTTTTGTTGATTACCTGTTGGTGGTACCACCATGATCAAAATTGAAGTCAGTGTAGGTGTCAGCAAAGGTTGATTAATGCTTAATGCATGTGTAGGTTCATGCTAATTGCCTATCAATAGGACTGGCAGAAATGCACAAGACATTGCAAAATGAGGCTCTATCTTTATTAAGAGGCCAGCTGTGGTAGGGCTTCTCTATACCATTAATTGGTGTCATTGACTTGACTCTGCCTTGAGTGCCAGACAAGTGCCATGTGCTTTGGCAGAGTGTGCCATGCTGATCATATGTCATTGTGTACCTCACTGCAAATAGTGGAAGCTGCAGTAAAAAAATCCTGGGAATCGTCAAACAAAATTTTAACTTCGAGGAAAAGATGGTACTGTACTGTAGCTGTGCAATTGTATAAATCTCTGGTGCACCTCAACTTGCATTATTATATCCAAGCCTGGAGGACATCATCTTTAGAAAGACATCTGATTTAGAGAAAGTTCAACACCAGGTGACTAGTCATTCCTGAACTCAGTCAACTGTAATACCAGACTGGTTGAGGGCCACAGATTTAACAATGGTGCAAACTAAACATGTCAACATGGATATTGATCCAAATATCCTCCAGACCACTTCTTCAAAAGGTCAGATGTAACACGAACAAGCAGCAACAGTTTCACACTCAATAAGCCACAATGCAGGATGGAAAACAAAACACGCTTTTTCACCCGTAGAGTTATAAACCCCAGGAACTGCCTACCTGCCAAAGCTGAAAATGCAAAGACAATTCTTCATTTAAAAATTCAGATGGAAGAAATATTCAAGAACAATAAAGAGACCTTTGACAAGCTGGCAGCTTCCTGTCCCTGTCAAGGCCACAGGTGAGATGATAGGCCTTGGGTGAATTCAGCTAAATATCCTCTCTAAAATGAGGTCTGCATCCTTAGATGCAGTAGTCTTGAAGGAACCTAATGAACTTGAAGCAAGAGAAAGCTGTTATTCAGCTGTACAAGTCAAGCTTGTTTAGTTATTCCTAATACTGTATTGTTTGTCTTTATGTACCACAGCTCAGCCTTGCTAAACAGCTTTCAATGATTTTGGGTCATTACTTCGAAGTCTTTTTCTTTTCATGTTGGTGATATAGTACAGTATAGTTATATTTATTGTTATAACCTATGAGAACATTATTACAAAGTACAATCCTTCACTACTTTCCAGTTATACATAATGTAGTGGATGGCACGCGTGAAGTGTCACATTATTTTTGCAGAACTGTAATTAAAAACTTTGTAAAGATCATGATTACAGTGAGGAGTCACAAGGTGTAGTGTTTGGACAATGCACACCAAAATGACAAATTGGTTGCAAAAAGTTCATAAGTAAACTCTTATACCAGTGAACTCACCCTCATTCTGACAAAATTATTCAAGAATGAATCAAATACTGTAAATCCAAGTGTATAGGATAAAGATATAATTAAAATAATTAAAAACATTTAAGGGACCAGCACACATATGGCATACATAAATATAATTATTAAAAAAAAATGATATGGTTGGTGCAGATTATAAAAAATATGAATATGATGAAATACACATTACCTCACTGATAATGGTACATAGTGGACGGCATTATAAAACTGTTGCTTATTAGGGTCATATCATAATTTTTAATTAAACTAATATATATTAAACAATTTACCTTATAATTTGTTTCTTCAAGTGACAAAATAAATACTATATATAAGATAGTAAATTACAATATTTTAAGTTCTTTATCTTTATTTTAAATATTATATATATTAAATTTATATATATAATATATATATATATATTTTATATATATATATATATATATATATATATATATATATATATATATATATATATATATATATATATATATATATATATAATATATATAAATAATAAATCTTCGTAGACAGATGACACATAAAATGCAAAAGTTATACAGTATCTGAATAATATGGTTCATGCATTTTGCAATCTAACAAGAATTACAAATAAGAAACAACAAAATCTAAGTGGCTAAATTATGTCCTATAGGCTTTAAAAAATATATATCAGTATTATACATTTATATTATAATAGCTTTCAGAACGGAACATACATAAAATAATGAGATAAGTTCTTAAAATGCACAATACACTGAAACTCTTATACTGTTTAATGCTTACCGAGGTCCCCCTAGGCCTAACAACTGACCTTTCCCTGGATGCATGCCACAATGACAGTCAATTAGCCTCCAGGTACAGTATCTATTTACTGGTAGGTGAACAAAGGCATTGAGTACGTACAAGGAAATGTGGCTGAACATTTTATCCTGCCCAGGAATCGAACACAGGTCCAATTGGTGCGAGCCAAATGCAATTACCACTCAACTTATTTACTGCCATTAATACATTTTCTGTTTAGAGATGATAAGCCAAGTAACATATAATGAGACATTAAATAAAAAATTGCCTATATGCCAAATCTTGTACTAAAGAGGGCAAAGTAAAGGCTCCAAAGTGTACCAATTATCTGTGCAGGTTGCAGAGAGATTTGTATGTTTTATTAAAACTACCAGTTAAAAAAATAAATGTGAGAAATGAATGTTGACAGCCTTGTGCTTCAATCTTCTGTTTTTATTTTTTAATATCGAGTAGTACCACATGTTTATAGTGTATGACAGAGTGAACATCTTAGCAGTCAAGTGTAGGTAGGATACAGGGTGCATCTTGTGTATCTGTATCTCATGCAGTAACACAGCAAAAGTATTATTAAGATATACACCAACATTAATAAAATCTTTTGAATTAATTTTTTAGGTTTGTTTTAAAAGTCATAATAGGATCCTCAAAAATACAGTACCTGTATCTTTAAAGTTATTGTATTCCTTTTTAAAGAATGGTATGGATATTGCAAAAAACAATCAGAATGGTATGACTGAAAAATAAAGAAATTAGGGGAGGAGGGCATAAAAAAAACTGCAGATGCCATCAAGAAAATGAATTTGTTTGCATTTACATTGTCATACTGCTTATAACCAGCTGAGAGTTAAATAAAATATAAAACATGCAGGGGTCAAAACTTAGAACATCGTTTTCATTTGTATTAAGTAATGATCAAGAGAGGGTAACAAGGTGGGAAGACTATATAGCACCTTCTGTGTCGATAGATATCCAAACGGCATAAAATATCATTCAAGATGGCAATATGAGAACAGAAAGACATAGGTGAGCGATATCAAAGGTCTCGAATTTACCAAGGACTCTGTCGAGGGACAAACGACCCCGAGGGATATTGTAGAATGCCCCAAAAATTGGAACATTCTACAAGGAGGTGCACAACTGAAGGTGGGACAATGCAGTTTGGGCAAAAAGAAGAAGGATGTTCTATTAGGTGCGCAGGGTGTGACTGATAAACAATCTAGCCAAAGTCGTTTCCCCATCTCCTATCTTGGTGGTAGGAGGAAGACCAAAGGAAAGGTCTACTGCTAGGTGTGCAGAGGCATCAGGTGAAAGGAAAAGTTGGCCAAATACTTCAGGAATCAACCCTAGAACCTTTTGGCTACGACCAGTCTCCACTCACCATTAGCCTTATCATGATGAGGCTGCCCATAGTCGCCCATAACCCGATACATTGACTGACACTTCATCCACTACATTATGAGAGTAGCATTCATACAATCCACAATATGAGCCACTTGCCAACATGGATGAAATCCAAATGCTAGAATAATTTAAAAGGGGGGGGGGGGGGGGTAAGCACTCACAGAAGAACATGGGCAAGATTTTAAAAAATGCAATATGTAGCTATTTGAATTCAATTCTGAGAAAAGAAAGGAGACTGGTGATAACTTACAAAATGAGAGGAAATTGTATATTACAGATAATAATTACAAACAATATTAGCAGCACTCGTCCAATCACGAGAAGAGGATATTGAGGAATCTCAATAAAGAATCATTCATTTTTACATGATATATGTAAGACCAGTTTTGGAATACAGTATGTGTAACGAATATGGAAAACTTACTTAAGAATTTACAAAAGCCCTAGAAATATTAGAGGTTAGCCACCAAACTAATCTCTAAATCCAGGAAAATGTGATATGAGAATAGGCTAAAAACACATCACATCATTAAGAAACTAATGAGTACTCATTAAGAAATGAGTACTAAATATGTATGGCCAAAGACATGTGATGGTGCAATATAGATGATTTAAAATCTACAAACAAAGGCCATCAATGCTTGTTTGTAATACTCTTCCAGAAGGACAGTAAACACAGGAATAGTCATTGAAATGAATTTGGAGTAGAGAAGGCTAACACTATCACTGAATTAAAATGTACATTGTAAGTACACAACCCATGCAGGGAAGCATCAAGCTTGTTGACCAAGGGTTCAAGAGCTACCAGTATTTCATATTAGTCACAAACAAAACTAGACACGAGTGCACATACAGTACTCAGAAATAGACCCTTTTTCCATATAGAGTTCAGCAAACTTAATTAATTGGTTGAATGTCAACTATGATATGAATCAAAGGGAATATCTGGCAATCATCAAAAATAAACTGAGAATAACAGCTACTGTTTTTGCAGATACAGTATTTTACCATAAATGTAGCTTGTGATGAGAAAGACTCATGGTTTACACTGTAAATTACACATCAGTGCAAAATTTAAATGGAAACTTCCACTTCTTTGTTAGTTTTAAGACTTGTTCACATTGCTATGCGTGTTAGTGACTTTGCAAGAATGTACCACTTGAATGTGAAGGTTAAGACACTATAAATGTATTAAAAACCATTTTATCAAATGTGACCTACACCCTTTCTCAAGGTACTTTATATAATTAAAACATTGTATACAATACCTTGAGAATGGATGTAGGTTACATTCAACAATTTGGTTTTTAATACATACTGGGTACATACATACATACATACATACAATGCCTAAAGCCACTATTACACAAAGCGTTTTGGGTCTTTCCTTCACCTTCATTCAAACACTACGGCACTGTAGTAAGTTTCCCAATGTATCGCTTAATCAACAAAGTCTAATAAAATAACCCATTATACCATCTTAAACATAAAAACATAAATAAATAAATATATAAATAAAACATAACCATTATAGATTAACTAACCACTAATAGACATACTTTATAATGGTGGATATATGGGTATTAAACTGTATTTCTAGAAAATTTTGGTGCCGTATACCCAGTGGGTACAATATTCAAGAGTAACAGTAATTCATCATTACTTTTGGATAGTGTAAATTCATTCCACTTGTACCCACTTAAATTTAGTATCTGGATAAAATATGCAATAAAATAAATAATAATGTAATAAAAGGAGGCAGTACTCTACTGAGGTTGAAATATATTGTACAGCAACTGTATACCTTTTTGACAATATGATTCACAGAATCCATTGATACGCATTCTTTCTTAAGGGGTAGATAATGCATAATTCAAAATATGGAAGCGCTATTAAAAATGAAAAGATAAGCAAGCATGATTGTGATACCATCTTGTTTTGATAATTAATATAAAATGAAAGTGCCTTTTTTAAATATTATAATACTGTAGTTCTTCCTAAATGTTGAGAAATTAGAATGTACAACCCACAATTCCTAAATTATTAAAAATATCTGATACGAAACAGTTTTCATGGCCTGCACTTTCTGCCATTAACCAAGAACAATTTTCTGTGGCGCTTCAGTCAAAATCCAATAAAATAAGTGTATACATTATAAATCATGAACAAATTAAATAATATACAATAATGAAAATATGTCTTTTGACTTACACAATTAAGTCATAAAAGCAAGGATCAAATTCTGAATCCGAAGCATAAACGAGACAATATGGTTAAGGCTTATACTTGATGTACTATACTGCCATTGTTGGTAATATGAGAACAGTTTTGAGTACAGACTTATCACACTGTCTGTATAATGGCCTGGCCACTCACAGCACCAAGCTGTTCTAAATAAGTTCACTGTGGTCAATTAATGATAGCATAACTTTCTTAACAAAAAAAAAAAAAATTTGCATCCACAGAGAAAATATACACTTAACCATATTCTGACAACTCTCTTAAACTAAATCTATTTTACTGGAGGTCTTAGTGTTAACTATATCAAAACATACATAAAAAACATAATTGCCACAAGATAAGAAAAAGTAAATACAGGTTTTTGGCTTGAAATGCTGTGACTTCCATTTATTGAGTTAAACGAAGGTTGTTGGTGTGGCTTCGGACTGTATGTAGGTGTCGAATAGCTGGGACCCGGATACTTGCTATTGTTAGTTGGCAGAAGGTCAAGGTTAACACTGATTTTACCTTCATTCAGTTCCTTGTAGTAGTTGGCAAGATGAGACTTGAAATTAGGGTCAGGCATTGGGGTCCAGGAACCACAACGAGGAAAGTTCTCGGGAACAGGTGGAATCATACTCTGCTTTCCTACATGGAAAACAAGACCCATTCCAACTTCTATATGAAAGCTGATGTGGCAGTGGAACAGCCAATAACCTGTGGGGTAACATGAAAATAAGGAGACGTTACACACAGAGATCACACTAACGTGTGATCTCAAGGTTCGTGACGAGGATTCGAACCTGCGTCAGGGAGCATCCCAGACAGCAGCTCAGTCGATTAAGGCAGTGTCTGGGATGCTCCTGGACACAGGTTCGAATCCTCGTCACGGCCCTTGTGGATTTGTTCATAAGGAAACGTGTTTGTATTTCACAAGACTGAGTGGGAAAAACATTAGCAAATGTGATACCAAAGGAATAAAGGGCTATAGGTACTTTTGGTACCTAACTTCTAAATTAGGTACTAAATGCTATACATATTAGTAGCTTTAGGTATTGTATGTACTAGCTCTTTCTATAAATCCAATATTATGTTTGTAACTCATCTTCTATGTAAGTACTTTTACCTGAATAAACATCTGAATTTGAATTTGAATTTTGAATTTTACTTTTGAATAGGGCAAAGGTTGGACAATTTTTTAATTCATCAGGGAGTGAGTTTCAAAGACTGGATCCTTTGATTTGCATGGAGTGTTTGCACATATTTAGTTTGACTCTGGGGATATCAGAGAGATATATATTTCTGGTGTGGTGCTTGTGAGTTCTATTAACTTATCAAGGAAAAATTTCATATCAAGATTAGCATTTAGGAACAAGGTTTTGTACATGCCAACAGCACATAAGAATGTGTGGAGTGAGTGTATGTTTAGCATGTTAAGGGACTTAAAAGGAGGGGCTGTGTGTTGCTTGAAAACAGAGTTTGTTATAGTTCTGACAGCTGATTTTTGCAGAGTGATGATGGGCTTGAGGTAATTTGCATTGGTTGAACCACATGCTCAGATACCCTATGTAAGATAGGGATAGATTAGTGCGTGGCATAATTTGTTTTCTCTTTTTTTTTAGCAATGTGCTGCTACCTTATTTTATGAGATATTACACAGTGTAGATCAAAACTAGCTATAGGTTCAACTAACCTTCACATCTCACAGGATGGTTAATCTTACATGGAATTAGGGGTGATATATCTGCCTTAATACAAAAATAAACCAGTGGGGAACATAATATGATTTCAGAAAGTATACCAAGAGTTTTGAGACTTTTTGGATATGTGTTGTATGTGGGAGCTAAAGTTCAGTCTCTTGACTATATATAGGCCAAGAAACTTTCCCTCATTTTTACTGTTAATGTTATCTGAAGTTGAATTTGATTTGTTGAACTGCATCATCTTGGGAAAGATTAGTAGATGGCCTAGGGAGACATAAATAAGGTTAATAGGCTTCCTGTTCCTGACTGAGAAATTAAAAACAAAGATGAAAATAACTACAATTTGAGAGAAGAAAATTTGGGAGTAATTACAAAAGAAATGTAAGAGAGACTCACAGGATATTTCAAAATATAAACTGGAAGAAGAGGAGGCTCAAAATAAAGTATGTATTGCAAGATAATGTGAGATAAGCAGAAGTGCTTTATGATGATTCAGTACATGTAAATTCTCTTCATTGCATAATAGGAATTACACTGAAAATTATGCTTTCAGGAAGATAAAGGCTAGAACATCTGAAGCAGAAAAAGTGAACTGTGAGGGGAGGGAGACAAACTGTTGTTACTGGCATGTTTAGTGTCCCACTGTCACTTACATATAGCCTCTCAAGCATAAAAAGATTCACATAGGGCAATGACTGGCCTTCACCAATAAGTAATTGACAACATATTTACTATACTGCAATAGGTGAACAGAGTCATCAGGTGTAAGGAAACATGATCAACGGTCTCATGCTGCCTGAAAATCTGAGTGGTCCACAGTTTGTTGTGAGTTATACAGTATATTCATCCATGTTGGCAATCTGCATGACAGATTGAATATTCTTATTATATATAGTAATGGTATTATAAAGAAATTAAATGATATATTTGATCCTCTAGCTGCCAACATTGGAATGCACTTCTCTTGTTTTATGTTTAGATTCATATTTTGCTAACACTGGCTTCCTCTTCCTGTTGAGACTACTCTAGATGGTAACCTGTTAACTGAGTTCAGGTATCAATTATGCAACCCGTCCTCTTAAAAATAACATCACTTTTCGCTCGTATGCGCACTATGGCCAAATTTGGACGTAATTTGAAATGAAATCAACTCACAAAAGTGACGTACTGTTCCGTTTTCTGTTTGAGTCGTCCGGCTTACTCGACAAGCTTAGAAGAGAATTTCCTGCCTACCTAACCTATCAGAGGACCCTTAACTTACTGTTGTTGATAAAAAAATCCCAAATTTATTTTCATTTTTTTTCATGTTCAAATTTCGGCCATACGGGCTAACGGCCAAAAGCGACGTTCTTTTTAAGAGGACAGGTTGAATTATGTGCGCTGTGTTATTTAACTGAATTTTTAACAGAGGAGCCCTCCTATTCCTATTTGATGCCACTAGTGTGTGACCTCAAGACGGACAGGAAGCTGAAGTCTTGTCAACGGTTGCCCCCCTTTATTCCAGAGGACTTTTATCAAGCCGCATTTTAAACTGAAGAATAATACTATCTTGGCATTCATGGCTTAAGTATGCAGGCAATACCAAGTGAATGAAAAAGCATCTCCTGTTTTCTGTCCTATTTTGTGGCTAGCTGAACTTGAAGCTATTGCCTCTTGTGTGAGTGACATTGGAATGTTCAACAAAAGTGATCTGGATTAAAATCTCCAATTTCTTCAGCGTTTTAAAAAGATCATCCATGTTATGTCTGGTTTTAGCGTTGTTAAACTTGAGGCCCTCATCCATTCCTGGTATGAGAGTAGACTTAGTCCTAGAATGATTTTTGTCACTCTGCATAGAACTTTTTCCAATGCTTTAATGCAATAGTCCAGAGGTTTGTCTGGACCACCAGTCTCCATGGTGCAGTGGTAAGACACTCGCCTGGCGTTCCGCGAGCGCTTTGTCATGGGTTTGTATCCTGGCCGAGGAGGATTTACTGGGCACAAATCCTTAACTGTAGCCTCTGTTTAACTCAACAGTAAAATGTGTACTTGGTTGTAAAAACAATTCTTCGCGGCGGGGATCGTATTCCAGGGACCTGCCCGAAACGCTACACGTACTAGTGGCTGTACAAGAATGTAACAACTCTTGTATATATCTCAAAAAAAAAAAAAAAAAAAAAAAAAAAAGATGAATGACTACTCATTTCCTTATAGTCAAAAGTTTGTTAGAAATAACCATGTTTCATTTGCTTGTTTTTATCAGAGCTCCTACTCGTTGAGAAACTTTCAGTGGCTGGTGGATCACAACTCCTAAGTCCTTCTGATTAACTTCATGATGTATCCAGCTAAATCAAATAACTTTCCTATCTAATGTTATGTTGAATACATTAATGCTAATGAAAGTGCATAATGTGATATGCTAACATTAAAGGCAACAGCATGTTAACCAAGTTGGAGAAAAACTAAATACATATCATAAGCCTTAACTGGTGTATTATATGTAAATAATTTACCTGGGTTGGATGCAATGAATCGTATGATTGTGTATCCTCCATCAGGAACAGTTACAGTGTCCTTGATGGGCGGATGGTCAAAGTTACGCTCAATCAACCCAGCGGCATCCAGTTCCTGTACCTATTTTAAACAAAAATATTTTTTAGACAATAATAATACAGTAGTAAGACAACAATGAGTGTAATTAAATGCCCCTTCCTGGATTGGACCTCAGCTTACATCTCTGACCAGTATGGGGGAACAGTGACCACGACAGGCTTCCAGTTATTGATAGATTCTCTATTTAAATGAATTGCCCAGACAATGCAAAATTTATTTATATTCAGTGCTTGGTTTCTGGGAGGGCCTTCCCCCATCCCCCTCAGTAGCTCCCAGAACACATTTAAAACACTGCCTCAACCCCATTTTCCTGCATTTCTGAAAAAATTAAAGCAGGTAAGTAGCAGGTAAAGCGTGGTCCAAATGACTTCGTCTCACAAGTCGGTTTCCCGCTTTTTCCCAGTTCCGAAACGGGACTGTGCAGATCTCCGGTACACTCTGGACTTGTCTCGTCTAAACTGATTGATTCCTTGCCCTTCCTTTCAGATGACCACACTGTCCCTGGTCCCGCACATTCTCGAGCTGGGTACTTGGACGATTTCCCTGGACCTCTGGGACGCTTATTGGCACGTCCCTATTCATCTGGGGTTCAGGGATTGGTTAGGGTTCCAGTTGGGGCGACAGGTTTACTGTTTTCGTTGTCTGCCTTACGGCTTAAATTTGGCAACTCGTGTTTTTACGTGTACAAATCGAGTCATAGTGGCCCGTCTGAATCTAAACATTTGAACCGTCCCAGGTTCAAACTTGGCTAGGCCTCGTATGGAATTCTCGGACAGCATCCGTCTCTCTCCCTCCTGCAACTCTGCTCTGGCTGCAGTCTGGCCTTCAGCTGTTTTTGAGGGGGGACCCGGGACACTTAATGGTTACTCGAGCGGCTGAGCAGGAGCCTGAATTTTGCCTTCTAGTTTATCTGTTGGGCAGGATTTGGCTGTTCTGGTATCTTCGGAGCCGCCTCTTTCACTGCGCTCACGACCGTTGGGTTTGCCCCCCAGTGTTTTTGTGTTAGTTGCTGCGTTACCGGCTTCCTCTTTGAGTTTTTAGGGGCTCGGTGCCATGATGCCTTCCCCATCCTTTGCTCGATGTGTTCACAGACGCCTCATCTCTCAGTTAGGATTTTGTGACCAGTGCTCACCAGTCCGTCCAGGGGCATTGGGGGGGCGGTCGTTCCTTCGGGCTCACAGCATGGTGCGGGAGTTTGCTGCGCTAGATTTGGCTTCTTCGGGGCTCCTTGATACGGCTCCATTAGGACTTCTGCTGAGTTCTCGGAGTTTAGCTCTCAGGCTGTTCACATTTGAGGTGTGTCCAACGTTCTGGCAGATGGCTTGTCCTGTTTCATTTCTCTTTCCACGGAGTGGACGGTTGATGCCGCATCCTTCCTTTGGCTCTGCTGGATGTACGGGCACGTACATCCAGCATGTGGAGTTAGACAGCTGCTACAGGCTGCTTCCTGGGGGTGAGTAACAAAAAGAAGACTTGGTCAAGGACCAGGCCGCGGGGACGCTAAGCCCCGAAATCATCTCAAGATAACCACCCAGAGACGAAGCTCATTGCGTCGGCGTGGTCTCAATATCTCCCATTGTATGTGGCACCATTCCCATACTGGGACGCCATCACGGTAGATGCTTTTTGGCGAGCCTGGTCGAGGTGAGGGTTCTTGTACCTCTATCCTCCAGTCCAGATGTTTTAGTTGCTCCAAGACCTCGCTCGAGAATCCAATCAGGGGAAGGTTCTTCTCCTGGCTCCATGGTGGCAGGCCCAGCCTTGGTTTCAGGTGCTGCTTGCTCGGTGTCCGAACTCGGGCATCTTTCCGTGGCTACGCCTCTACCAGCAAATCGGGCCAGTGAGGTACCTTGCTGGTTTACTTTACTCCTCTGCATCTGGTCTTTCTGATGCGGGTGTATTGCCATTTCTATGGTGACCCATGTGGCTTCTTAGACGATCTGTGTCCCACCTGCAGTCTTCTTCCAGGCGACAGTATGAAGTCTCTTGGCGATCTTTCTGTCATTTTCTTTCTCTTTGAGGGATTTCGTTGATTTTGGACCAGGTTGTTTTGTCCTTTCTTTCTTGGCTTTTTCTGGACTGGCATCTCATGCCAAATACTTTCGCTCCATGTCACGCAGTCTTGGTGAAGATGTTCCAGCTTGCGTTTGGGAAGGATGTTACTTCCACTCCATTCCACAAGATTTCACGTGCATTTTTTCACCTCTGGCCTGCTCATACGCCGCCTGAGCCTTCCTGGTCTTTGGATTGAGTTCTTTTCTTTCTTCTCATTTTGTGGTAGCCCTTTTGGTTGGTGATTATTTTGGGAAGGCCTTATTTTTGTTGGCTTTGGCCTCTGAGGCTCGGGTTGGAGAGCTTCATGCTCTCCTCCGCCGCCGGGGGTTCTGTTCCTTTGGTCTGGGTGGTTGTTTTGTTCAGTTGCATTTTGTTCTTCTCCTTTTATAGCAAAGAATGAGACAGTGGGCTTCTGAAGGGGTCCAGTGGTGGTGGATGCTTGGGTGGTTTGGCTGGGGGTGCATTAAGTGTTGTGTCCAGTGACAGCTTTATGTCACTACCTGCGGGCCATTGGTTCTGTGACAGTGGATGCTATTTGGATGGATCCGGTTTCTCTGGTTCCCTCTACCAGGGCTTGTATGTCTCAGGTTGTCCGCAGTATCAAAGTCCAACCAGCCTGCAGTCTACCCTCGTACCCATGATGTGCGAAAGTACATCATGCGCTCGAACCGCAAAAACCGTGGCACTCGCCATGGTTTTTGGTAACATGTCTTGGGTTGACATTGGGGCATGGGAGTTTTGGGGATTGAACAGGGTCCTGGCCGCCAGATATCTTGTGAATGTTCCGGTACCTTTCTGGCCTTGTGTTACTTTGGGGCATCTGTGGCATCAGTCGGTCTCTTCTTCGCCTTGAGCCAAACAATGTTGCTGCCTCTGAGGTAAGTCCCTTTTTTCTTTCTCCATGGATAATTAGCTTCAAGGAGCCGACGGGGCTTCCTCAGAAAACCTGCGTTCAATGTAATGAACAGCTCATTTTTTAGGGGTAGCCCGGGAGACTCCCTGACACCCTCCCTCCAGTCGGCAGTTTTTTACATCATGACTAGAACTGAGGTGGTGGATGGCTGGTTTGCCTGAGCTGGCCCCCTCCTCCCCCTTATTAGGGGGGGGGGTTGTATTAGTTAGTACAACTAGTACTAATGAGTGGGAATACTAGTTGAGGACAGGGTTGCTAGTTTCTTTTGTTTCAGCAGGCATTTCTTTGCTTCTTCTGGCTGTGGGTAGTAATTTACCAGCTAGTTGTTTGTTTTGGTTCACCTATCTTTCTGGGTATCCACCGGTCGATGGTGGAATATGACATACTTTAAATGTAAAGTGCTCGTATGCCATTGCTCCCCTGCACCTCTCTGAGGAGACAAGGTTCTGGTTCGTGGTTCCCGGTAGGCTAAGTTAAGAACTCCTGTGACTGATGGCCCCAAACTAACATAGCACATATCAGTTTGCATAGCTTCAGGAAGCCTCCAGGGATACCCCCAGAAAAGGGCATTTCTTTATATTCAATGCTGGTTTTTGTACTGTTCTATTTCCTGTGTAACTTCCTCTATCTGTACTGACAAGAGCTCTTTTTCCTATTTGATTTCCTTGCCTAGTTTATTGTATTCACTAATGTTAACATTTGTTTTAACTTCTTCAAATGTTATTTTCAGTATTTTATTTTCTATATTAAATTTATTCTCTAATTTTGGCAACATGTTGTGCAAACCACTCATACTGATACTGTCCTCATTAAAGCCATCAGAATGTGTTTTGGTGGCTCTGTTGTTGTGTTTTTTCCTTGCAGGTGGCTATCATGGACTGTAACTCTCGTTACGTAACCACTTATATTAATTATATAAACTAATGAATGTAATTACCTATTATCATCATCCTACTTAACTGTCAACTGCCCCATTATTCCTTTTATATAAACAATCCAACCTTGCCTAATTATAAGTCGTACCTTTTGCAGAGTGGTGTTTTCTCCCAGACGACCCATGGCCAGTACCCAAAAGGTATGACCATGAAGATGGAAGGGATGATTAGCCCAATATACAACACCTGCAGGAATGACAGGAAACAATTAGGTAACTTAATACAAAACAATCTTAAAGTATATTTTTACTGTGATTTAAAAATAGATAAATAAAATTACAATTATTTGCCATTGTAACAGAAATAAATGTTTGTTAAAAATGTTATATTTGCTTAAGTTCTTGGACAATTCATATACACATTAGTATTAGTTTATTTAAAGTTTAGTATCAATTGTTTACCCAACTAAATTTGAAAATAAATTTACTACATTATTTGACCTACTGTAATGTTCGAAACACCCCGTATTTGTGGCTTTATTATATACAATTTCTGTACCTACTAATTATACAATAAAATTCTTTATAAATAATTATTATACACAAGTATTTATAAATGATTACTCAAGGCCAATTTCAGGAGCTTCTCTAGTTTCACACTTCAGCAAGAAGCTCGATTTTGTTGGCCAGTTATTTTGTCTTGTGTCACAAACTTGTGCACCAGGCCCTAGGCCAATACTGAAGCAGTGGCTACTTTTGTTCACGCAATATCCCTTGTAATTCGTGGTAAAAAATTGCAGTGTCTTGGACTTCTGATAATGGCAGGGTGATCTATAAGTTGGCTTTTTACTACCACCTCCCCTCCCCCCTCCTCACTATTCTTCTGGATTTACTTTGCTCCTACTGCTATACTATAGAATGTTGTCATTTTAGGCTTAACATTTGAATTTCTTTCTATGAATAGTTTCCCAGATTTTTTTTTTGGGGGGGGGGTACTAGGAATCCTCTCAGGCTTATCAAATCCACCCACCCCCACTAATCCTGTGAATAACCTTCCCAGGATGCATTCACAACAGATATGCTGAATATTAGCTACTAGGGAAACAGGAAACGTGTCCAAACATCTTATCCTGCCTGGTAATCAAACCCGTGACTAATTACGTGTGGGCTAATAGCACTAGCTACTGCATTACAGCTCATGTGTTCTAGAGAGCATGGGCCCAAGCATTCATGTTACTTTATAAGATTTTTACCTTCATTGGTTAATTTGACCTCTCTTTCAAAACTGAACAATGTCTATCATCATATATACTTGTACTATTGCCTGCTATAAATGTCAGCATCCCCCACCCCCCTCAAGAACTTTTCAATAACTTTTACCATCATCTGCAAGAAATGTATCAATCATTGCTGTAAATTTTAGTTTCAGCTTATAATTGAGATTATTTGTGAAGCTTTTACCATTATCTAGCAAATTCATATTACCTTTCATCTAATAATAAATTTCATTTTACAGTGACAGACTATTACAGGCTCAGTGATGGCATTATATAGCCTTCAATCTCTCCTTATCACAACAAAACTCACCCTCATCGACCAAGATCAGCTCGACTAAACTGTCCTTCTCAACACTGAGTACGTGTGGGCAGTAGCAGAAGTTATCCTGGCAATTTCTTTTTGAGGTGGCATTGCAAAAGGAGCTGTAGTCAACATCATCTGGCTGTGACAGGGGCGGAGCATTCGGCAACTTCAGGCTGATCTCATTTATCTGTGGCACAAATAATCGAAGCTGCTTCCTGACTGTGGATATATTGGAGGATTTAACAATACTTATTAATATGATGAGACTTTCATGCTTCACAAAATTATATATATGATTCCTTTCTCTTCTACAGAAAAACTTTTATTTCCTCGTTTCTGAAAACACAACAGATATTTAATACCTCACTGTGGACATCTTAAGAAGCACTTTTTAAGTCTCCAATGTTGTATAAACATAAATAAGAAGGTACATTGGGTTGTGAAAGTACACATATTGATGATCGAGTGGTACATTCTTGCAAAGCCACTAACACGCATATTGTTTTGCCCAGGACTTTGAAAGATAGGTACATCATAACAGATATTGAATTTACATAATAACTACCTCAATGTGAAAAGCAGAAGGAAGAATAAGGTGAAATTCTTTGAATTGAGAGCCACTTGTTTGTGTCTCTGCTTAACTGGATCTTTTTTTTTAACCAAATGGTGCTTGAGTGCAAGAGAAAATGATCAGGATTTAGATTTAGTTCATCCATGCAAGTTAGGATACTTGCTTAGTTCTGTTCCTTCATTATACTCCCCAAAACCATCTCATGGGCAATAAAGGTTACAATGGCACATGATGGGCTCAGGAACTGAACCTTAAATTTCCTTTAGCTAAGTAAGTTACAGTCTTGATATGTTACTTATACAGTTTTTGGTGGACTATTATGTCAACAATGGGTTTTTGAACGAACATAAGTACAGAATCTAAGATAAACAACTTTCATTCTTAGGGGATTCAAGCAATTCAAGTAGGGGAAAAGCTCACTCCATCATGTGATCACAATATTCTAAGGTAGAATACCATTATAGAAACTCTTGTAAAGGTCCAAGACGATGATGACCTTCTAAATTACCATCGAGGAAACTATCAGGGAATGAGAGAGGAATTGTAAAACACCTCATGGAATGAGCTGAGGTAGGTAGGTAACTACCTACCTACCTACCTACATACATATCTAACTACCTACCTACATACCTACATTAGTGCTCTAGAGAGCACTATGTCTTAAAAAATATCATCATTAGTGTGGTATCTCTTGTTTTGAAGCTTCTTGTTATCTAACCTGTCAATTTTCTTGCAGTTGTGACAGCAACTTTGTTGTGCTCTTTAAAAGTAAGGTCTTCTGACATTATTACTCCTAAAACTTTTACATTGCTTTATTTTTTCATCAAACATCATCATCAATAAAACACAGTGTGGTTTGATTGTTTAATATGTGGTTTCTGCTTTGATGTTTTAGTTGTTTCCATAGCACAGTAATTGGAACTTATCCTCATTAATTAAACATTATGTTATTTTTTCTGTGGCCCCATTAGAAAGACTTGATTAACATGAGATTGGAGGTTTGATGTGTCCTCTACATTGTCTTCTCTCATGAAGATTCTAGTGTCATCTGCAAAGGATAATACAGTACTATAGTTTGTATCCTTGTCTATGCCTAATATGAGGATGAGGAAAGGTACCAGAGCAAGCACAATTTCTCCATAGGAAACTTATCTTTTCACGGTGGATGATTCAGATTTTACTCTGTTGACACTCTGGGTTCTGTTTGACAGGAAGTTAAAGATACATTTTCCTACTTTGCCAGTAATTTCTTTTGTGCACAATAACACAATGGTCACATTTGTCGAAGGCTTTTGCAAAAATCTGTGTATATTACATCTGTGTTTTGTTTGTCTTTCATGGCATCTAAGACCATGTCATAGTGGTCTAGTAATTGTGAGAAGCAGGAGCACCCTGTTCTGAACCCATGTTGCCCAGGTTATGTAAACACTGTGATTCAACGTGTTTTGTGATCTTACTTTTTAGCACTCTTTTTCAATGATTTTTATGATGTGTAATGTTAGAGCTAATGGTCTATAATTATTTGCATTAGCATTACTACCTCCTTTGTGAAGTGGTACAATCTCTACTGTTTTAAGTTTGTCAGGGATAACACCAGTATCTAGGCTTCACCTCCAAAATATGTTTAGCACCTGTGATAATTTTTTTTTGTAATTCTTGATCAATATAGAATTCCAGGAGTCTGGGCCTGTTGCAGAGTGCATGAGAATGCTGTCTATGGCTACTTCAAAGTCGAGCAGGGTTAGGGTAGTCTGATATATGGCTCGGTGGTGGTGTCACATTCATAAAGAATTTGTTTGGATCATTGATCTGTAATGTGTTCAGGGGTTCACTGAAAACAGAATCGTATTGAAGCCTCAGTATTTCATGCATTTCTTTGCTGTCATCTACGAAAGTTTCATCACTCTTGCACAAGGGCCCAATGCAGGATATAGTTTTTGTACTAGATTTTTGCAAAGGTGAAAAAGTATTTTGGATTCCTCTCTATTCTGATTATGGCCTTTTGCTCCGTCTCTCCTGGATTTTATATAATTCTTGCAACCTTAGTTCAATCATTTCTATTTCTCTGCATAGCCTTTTTTTTCGTTCTTGGGATAGAGTTGAGCGTTTAAGCAGTTCTGCAATTTGTTTATGAATATTTGATGCACTCATAGCCAGCTGAGAAAATACAAAGACAATGTGATACATCACATTTTTATGATTATACTGTGCTTACAGCTAGCTCTTGATATATACCTTGTAGTTCCTCATATAGAATACTAGATGGGGTACCTGACTATTCGCAGGTCTCTTGCCACCTTTCCCTACACTCACTCTCCCAATCTCCTCTCATCTCATTCCCTCTCACCCTCTTCATCTTTCTCCTTCAGCATCCCACTTCTCCCCTGTCTCTTACCCCCCCTTCTCAAGACAAAAAAAAATTATAAAGCACTGAAACAAGAAGCCAAAAACTCTTTTAAAAAAGAGCCACATAATCTTTAGTGGCTACTTAATAAATGCAAGCAATAATAACAAAAAAAAATTTTTTACTTGTAATCATTACCAAGATTCTAGTTTTTCTCAGGATTTCAAAAGGAAATGTTATAAAATAATACATTATCACAAAATCCATAAGAAACAGGATACAACTGACCTCCAAGGAAAGGGTAGTACTGTTCATGGTGGAAGAGATCATTATTCTTCCCATAAAAGTCAAAGTCGAGCCAGAACCTGTGATCAGGTGTGCCAGAAATGTCCTCGCCCATATCCACAGCTTGAATCTCGGCTGCTGTCAGGAAGGTATCATCCCCAGGAGCAGCATTGAGCTTGTTAAGTTGCTGTTGCAAAACAAGAATGAATTTAGATGTTAGAGATACAGACAGATGGCCAAGAAGAGAGAGAGAAAAAACAGTAGTACTAAACCAATGAAGAATAATGTAGGTCATTTCAATTTAAAAATACTGTAATTAAGGGAAGCCCAACTATTGATTATTTGATAAACAAAAAAAAAATGGAAAATAAAATAAATGCTCTAAAAAGGTGAACGAAGACTAACCAAACCTTCACGGATGGTAGAATTGTAGTCGAGATCTTCCAGACCTCCAGGGAAACCCTCAGCACCCTCATATCTTAGCACAGCCACCTGTACACAATACCTTCATTACTTCATAATATTTGTTAAAAGCAATATTGGTAATTAATATGTCCATGTGACACATTGGTTTTAAAACAGGTTTATCAATACTGTACATATATTAATAACAATACAGTATACGTATAATTAACAAAATTGTGTGATTTAAAAATCATGCGTGGAAGTAGAGAACTTGAATGTGCCCCAGTATGTACAAGGAATTAGTCTATGTGCAATTGCACTTAAATGCCAGATAACTACCACACTCCCTCATCAACAGCTTCACAATGAAGAACAAATCTGCACTATTTGGAAGCTGGGGAAAAGCAAAGCTAAGGCATACCCAATGTGGGCAACATAAAACACAAACAAATGAGAAAAATAACAATAACAAAGGAATTGCCCTTAGCCATAATATGTTCCAGGGATAGCCAACACCACCTACATAAGTGTGAAGCAGAGGATGGGCTCTGTCAGAGGTTCCATGTCCATGATGCTGTGACCAGGAGAGTGAGAGGGTGATTTGGCTGGAGCCTCAGAGGTGACCTAGTCGGGTTACCGCATAGTGGTGGTCAAGTGCATTTCAATTAGGGGTTTATACCCCAGAGTAATGACTGCTTGTCTCACTACCTTTGGATACCTTGCACTTATGCTGTCTGGTTGGATTTTTCTTGTTGGTCTCTGACCCCGCCAATCTTCTTTTTCTCCTAGAAAGTGCCAAACTCTGGTCCTGGCTCCCAGAAGCCTAATGCATCTCCCTACAGCTTGGCTGAACTAGGATTTTGCTCAGTGAGCTTCAAAAGGGACCCACCAGAGAAGCGCTTCATTGCAGTTAACGCTTACTGACTTTGGTTGAAAGAGCTTATAGAGTCAGTTATGGAGATAAAAGTAATAGCTGATGAGAAAATGATAAATTTGCCCTGGTCATTGAATTATTTCTAGCAAGATTAACCGCAGTTGATAAAAAAAAACTTTTGAACTTGATTACTGTTTCTAAATCTCTGGCCAGGGCGTTATCATCTTTGACAAGTTTAATCTGTGAGTATTGTTTGGATTCTAAGATGTTACAGATGACTTTTCATCTTTTTTTCCTTATTTAAATCTGTTTTTAGGGTTGGATAATGTAGCTATTTTTATTAGTGTTGAAGAGTACTATACCTCTCTGCTAAATCTTTGTGACTAGGCACAGCCAGGGCCAGATTAAGATAATGCAATCGATGATGTATATGTGTGTGTGTGTGTGTGTGTGTGTGTGTGTGTGTGTGTGTGTACTCACCTAGTTGTGTGTGTGTGTATGTGTATGTGTGTGTGTGTATGTGTGTGTGTATGTGTGTGTATGTGTATATATTATATATATATATATATATATATATATATATATATATATATATATATATATATATATATATATATATATATATATATATATATTATATTTTATGGCCAGAATATGTCTAAATAAAATAGTATAGAAAATAATCAGGTAACAAAGAGATACTAACAGCTTAGGAAATAATTAAATGGAAAAGTATGGCATCTTGATATTAATATCTTGTAGAAAATGGGGAAAGAAACTTATCTTTTGATTTTTCGTAGGCCCTCACTATCTTGTAGGCCCTAGGAACTCTGACTACTGGATAATCCAGCCCATTTTTTTTTTTATTTCATGTTTATTGTTAATTGTTTTAAGTGTGTCAATGGTGAGGCAAAGCATGTTAAATCTTTTGGCAGTTATTTGTTTCAAGACAGCGGTGTATGTTGCAGAGGCTTAAGATTTTATTAAGATATCTACTGATGTATGTTAATGTCATGCTCATAGAAAATGGCACCATCTGTTTGTATGCCGCTGCTTTTCATTCACCAGTTGGGAGTATGGAAACAACATGGAGTGTGCAGGATGCCCGTCACGCTTGGACGCTGCTAGTTGTGTAGTACCATTATAAGAATTAAAGTCGGTAACCATGCTATAGCTTCATATCAACCCTATAACCAAGGCCATCCACAGCAACACATAAAATACCACCGTTAGGTATATCATTTAATTCAGATTACTAGTTTATATTACAAAGTGAACATATATGAGGTTATCTGTAATGATGATAATAAGATTATGTAATGACTGGTATATAATAAATTTCCCCCTCCCCCCTTTACAATTATGAAAAGTTGTTTAACAATGAATATGTAAGAGGCTAGAGAGGCAGTTATATATTAAGTGGTCAAGAGTTGAAGCAGATGTTTGAGTGACTGGAGTGGGTTTAGCGATCATGAGTATTACCATTCAGAAGTTCATAAGGTTAAGAGAGTTCTTGAATTAGGGTCTATTTTGTTAACGAAGGTCAATATTGAAGTCTCCATCTAATATGATTAAATTTGTAATGTTTGTTGGTTGGTTAGGATCAAACTCCTTGGATAGTTTGTAAATTCAGTTACATTAGTATTGAAAACTCTTTAAAGAGCTCTAATAGTTATAAGGAATTTGAAAGTTTAGATTGAGAATTGAGCACAAATTTATTTACAACTTGTTTTTATCACAAATGATCTTATACAATAATAGGGTGCTGTACCACACTAAATTGGGTGTGAGATCTTTATTTAGGCATGTTACCTATAAGACAATGAGGGGTATTGTATTTAGTGTTTCTAGTAACACACGAACACGTTTAAAGCTTTGCACAATGCAAAACCACTTGCCCAAAACTAATAGATGGACTGAACTGTTAATGTACTCTAAGCCAACTTACATAAACTGAAAGATTAAGGTACTTTAACATATCAAGCTAATCTGAAACAGTAATTTAATACTTTGGTTACCTGGTAAGCGGATTTAAACCGACTGTCACAATCCAGCATTCCTTGGAACTTTATCCAGTATGTTGCAATGTCCTCTGATGCATTCACTACGAAGTCCCATCGTTCCCCTCCATAAATGGTCAAAGACTCCACTGAGAAGGGAATAAAAAACCAAATGTTAGTGGAATGGCTAGAAAAAGACAATAATAATTACAGTAACTTGCTTTATTGGGGTTAGGAATCCTTCGTATGTATGTGTATGTATAAATTCACCTAGTTGTGCTTCCGAGGGTTGAGCTCTGCTCTTTCGGGCTGCCTCTCAACTGTTACTAACTACTAACTAATTTATTTTTTATATTTTTTTCCTCCCTCCCTCCCTCTCCCCCCACACAACTGCTGCATATTCTAGTTTTGGCCTAGTAAAAGTTGTAAACAATTTCTTTAGCATATTGCCAGCCATGTATTTAAAAGCAATTCTGAAGTTAGAAACCATGGCATAGGCTCCTTGCACAACGTTCTTTATGTGGTCCTCAGGTGATAGTTTTCTATCTAGAACCACCTCTAGATTTCTTTCTTTATCAGAATTCTTTAAAGATTTCTCACATAATTTATAGGTTGTGTGAGGTCTATATTCTTCTATTCCACATTCCATAACATGGCATTTATTCACATTAAATTCCATTTGCCAAGTGGTGCTCCATATACTTATTTTGACCAGGTCTTCTTGGAGGGCATGACAATCATCTAAGTTTCTTATTTTCCATATAATCTAATCATCAGCAAACATGTTCATGTAATTCTTTATTCCATCTGGTAGACCGTTTATGAACATTAATGAAAGCACCGGTAATGAACATTACCAGTGCAAGAACTGAACCCTGTGGTACTCCATTTGTGACATTCCTCCAGTCCGATACATTGCCTCTAATTACTGCTCTCATTTTTCTATCAGTTAGAAAATTTTTCATCCATGTTAGAAGCTTACCTGTCACCCCTCCTATATGTTCCAGTATCCAGAACAGCCTCTTATATGAAACTATCAAAAGCCCTTTTTAGGTCCAGATAGATGCAGTCAACCCAACCATCTCTTTCCTGTAAAATCTCTGTGGCTCAATCATAGAAACTGAGTAAATTCGTTACACAGGATCTTCCAGAGCGAAAACCATACTATCTATCTTATATCATTTTTCTCCAGGTGTTCTACCCATATGCTTTTAATTATGTGTGTGTGTGGGAAAAAAATTAGTTAGTATTTGGTAACAGTTGATTGATTGACAGTTGAGAGACGGGCCAAAAGAGCAGAGCTCAACCCACACAAGCACAACTAGGTGATTACAACTAGGTGAATACACACACACACACACACACACACTTTAGGCTTCTATTAAGGTTCCTCCCAATGTTGAACTACTGACCTCCTATTCCACATTCATTGTTGTGAAAAATCCTTTCCACAACAGTTGCCTAATTCCCAGGTACCTATTTACTGCTTGGTGAACCCTATAATTGTTCACCCACAAGATATTAATGCATATTAATATGCATTAATATTAAAAGGCACATTAAATTCAACTCTGCTTGAGATCACTGCAAAAGCCTTTCAAGATTCCTTGTCACTAGGTGAAAGGAAATGTGCCCAACCATTTGTCCTGCTAAGGACCCTCACCCCCCCCCCCACCAATTTTGAGTCAAGAACAATTGCACATATACAGTATCTTTGTGATATGCAATTCAGTATCAATGAAAAAGTCTGAACATATTATCAGAATACTGGATATGAAAAGGGTGATTACAGTAAACAAAATAAATGACAATAGGCAGAAAAGGCTCATCAGTGCATCTAGAATTGTGAGATGACGTAATGAAGCGGTGAATGGTTAAGAAAATTAGTAAAGGAAATATGGCAAAATTAATACATCTAGATGAATGGCAAAAATTTATCTATTTTTGCCTTATGTATATCTTTACTTGGTAGTTATCTGATTTTAACTGATTTACCTGAGGGCCACCACTAACCCTAGTGGCCTCGATGAGGACAGGAAGCCAGCGACTAGTCGAAGGTCCCCCCCCCCATTTGCCTTGATGATCTCTCCTAAGTCTATTTTAAAACTCAACACAATTTTGGCAGTTACGGCTTTGGCGGGTAGGCGGTTCCATGGGTTAATAACCTTGTGGGAGAAAAAGCATCTCCCATTCTCAGTCCTACATTGTGACTTGTTGAGCTTGAAACCCAGTGCTCCTTGTCTGTGTTACATCTGATCTCATAAAGAAAATATCCAGATCAAGATTGATAGCAGGTGCTATCAATCTTCCTTTATTTCCACAGCACCTGCCTTCAGGCTGTCATTACACAGTGCTCCTACAGTCTCCTGATTCTCTCTCTCACTCACCTTCTACAGGCTGGATGGGACTGCCGTCAGTAGAGATAGGAACAAGTGTGTGGTTGTCAATAGAAATAACAATGGGGCAGTTCTGTATGCTGTTACTCAAGGCTCTGAACCTGTAGCGACGACCCTGCCAAAATACAAGCCATAAGAATATTGTGCGACTATAATTTTTGTTAAGCTTATGATTAAAGCTTTATTTTATATACGATAATATGATATATAGCACATGAATTTGTATTAAATGTATAAATTGTCCTCTCTACTCCAAAAATAAAAATAATTGGGCAATAGGAGGAAAATTATGCTAATGAAAAGAATTATATCTTTAAGCAAAGTCACAAGTCTTTCAAACTAAATGAGCAAGACCCACAAGTAATTCCATGATTATTAATATAAATTTGATTAATTAGTATAAAAGAAAAAATGGCTTCGAGTCCCAAAATTATATCATGTATATTACTCAAAAATCTTTCATGCATATAGTCTAAACTCCCTTTGTGTGTTAATGGTTTTGTACCACTTAAGCACAAACATTTTATTATAAAAATAACCATTGTGATTGCTTGTCAATAAATAAAATAAATTAGATTTTTTGTTACTCTTTATAACAATCCTGTAATATGTCAAGGAAATTTAAACTAAATACTGTATCTGAATTTACCTGAGGGCCACTGTCACTAGTGGCCTCAACGAGGACAGGAAGCCGGCGGCTTGTCAAAGGTCCCCTGTACAACCCCCTTCCATTTACAAGAACATACCAGTTTGACAATATACTCCTGAACTGGCGTGTAGACCTCAAGACCATCTCGCTCAAACTTGGTGTACTTTCCACGACCATTGATGAGTAGGTTGTATGGCTTGTTATCATGCTATGGAAAAAAAGATTCATTTGTGTAATATGGATAATAAAATAAATACCCTCAGGTATATAAATTCAAGCACATTCAAGTACAAAATAATAAATAATAATTATAATGATATTACTGGAAGAAATAATAATAATACTGTATTATTTTCTATTGTTATTATATTATTTTGTCCCTGTTTTCAATATAACAGAAAATATTCAAGGTACTGGTGCAAGGGAAATTTTTAAATGGCCTTGTAAGGTTACATAGTATATTGGTAGTAGGGCTTACATAGGGAATAACATCTAGCTAAAGTGCACTAAAGGAAGGTAAAATTATGCACACTGCAAAAGCCTTTCAAGATTCCTTGGCAACCCTGCTCGAGATCACTGCAAGGAGCACCTAAACAAACTACTGAATTCAGATGTGTTCCACTCCATTGTGTATGTGTGGTTAAGGACTGTTTCATTTCCCAGTCGGTCATGCACTGGCTCAACTTGAGAACTCCTTTACTTTCTGCTGCTGAGAGTATGACAGCATTAGGTTAGGGAGTGCTAAATGATAACTTCTCAGCAGGGATTATGCTCTAAGGAGAAACAAGGGCGGTGGAAATAGTAACTTGTTAATACTGTAGTTTGTGTACCAATTTGAACCATTTGAAATATTGAGTAAACTAGAAGATATTAATAGGGACTTCTTAAAAAGAGTCAATGTAAGTCACACAATGAACATCTTCAAGCTAAACGTTACAACTGGAGATGCGTTTTTGCCCATTGCTAAATCAACTCTGAATTGTCCACCTGAAGAGCCATTAATGAAACGAACATTATGCCAGTTCAAAATCCAACTAGATAAAATCCTCAACCACTTGGGCTGGATGGTACAGCAATAGTCTCGCTTCATGCAGGTTCAATCAATCCCCAACCGTCCAAGTGGTTGGGCACCTTCCCCCCCCCCATCCCATCACAAAATCCTTATCCTGACCCCCTTCCAAGTGCTTATATAGTCATAATGACTTGTCACTTTCCCCTGATAATTCCCCTCCCCTCCTCTCAACATTTTTGTCCCCATCATGGTCACTAGAGATGGCAGCCCCTTGGTAAATTCAAGTAAACCTTCTTAATATCTCTAAGTATATTTCTTCTTTTTCTTCTGAACCATCAGAATATCTTTATTTTGTACAAACTTTCAAAATATCTCAACTCATGGGATCCTTCTCAATATATCTGTTGTACTTCATATGAGCATTTTTAATATCTGTACTTCTTGTCAATTCAATATGAATGTCATGTGACCATATTCAATATCTATTTCAAATAGAGATTCAGAACAATCTTTGTTTCAACTAAACTAGCTGGTTGACTGCAATAATTTTACATTATTTGATCCGAGGGCCACATTCTCTCTCTCTCGTAGCCTTGATGAGGACGGTAGTTTCATAAAGGTCCCCCCATTTATCCTAATGATTTTTCTTTCATAGCAAATATGTCTTTCTGAATATCAGATCTCCATCTCTCCTTTTCTTTCATAGTTTCTCTTGGCTGATCTGATTTCCTGGGTGGCTGAATTTAAAGTCCTTATGTATATCTCATAATCTATGTTGTTCTTTGTGGACTGATACCTTCTCCAAAGATTGTGCTTTTTTTTTTTTTTTTTTTTTTTACTGCCTGTATCAACCATCTACTTCTCTTTCTTTTCTTTCTCTTTCTTGGTACTGTATTCAGGTATTTTTTTTAAATTCAGTGATGACCTTTTAGAATTTTAACCATGATGCCTCCATGCCTTGATCTCCTATTAACTCTCTCCAGGAGTAATTACAGGATGAGGGTTATGCTAGTGGTGTCCCGTCTTCCCAGCACTCTTTTATCACATAACACTTTGAAACTAGTGACGTTTTTGGCCTCCACTACTGTCTCACTTAACTTGTTACAACTGGCTTGGCACTTTCTCTTGATAGTTTCCATCCCTTCCATTGTAAAAATGAATTTTCTTATTCATGTACAGTATTCACAATGGCTTGGGGCTTTCTCCTGATAATTTCATTCCTTCCCTCCAGGAGGTGTTTTGCCATTCCTCTCTCATTCCATGATAGTCTTCTCAAAGTTAGCCCAGAAAGTCATCATCCTGGACTTTTATTTGGGTTTCTTTTAACAGATCTAATAATACTTCTTTTGACCCTTTAGCATAAAATACAAGTGAATGAGCAAAACTAGTTTAATATAAACTCTTCATACCTCTGTGTGATGATGGTTGACAAATTTTGCAATGCCTAGACCATCGAGCCAGTCAGTAATGACAAAAATATGGTGGTAGTCATCATCATCATACAGGTCTTTTTGGGGATCATCTTCCCGTGGCTCCCGAACCACAAATGATCCAAACATTCCATCTGTCCGCTGCATACCTAGAATATAGCAATGGCAAAAAACAGTTATATGAAACAGATCACATGTTTGCTTCTGTGAAAATGTCAGGAAAAATAAAGCTTTGGTATTTCATGCATTTCTAAGACTTAGGCTATTTGACTGCTCATTGTGTTCTAAGATATGGACTGTACAATCAAGTGAGAAATTCAGCATGGATTCAAAATGAAATTTTCAAGCCTCACTGAAAGGTAATACAGTATAAATATTAAACCAAATCACTGGAGAATATTCAGAAGGTGAATATTTGGGAGATCTAAAAATAATAAATAAAATAAATGTTTATTTAGGTAAGGTACATACATACTAGAAATTTTTACAAAGATTGGTTGACTTATAGGTAGAGCTAGTACATACAATGCCTAAAGCCACTATTACGCAAAGCGTTTCGGGCATGAAAAACTTAAATGACAAGCTTAATACTAATTGAGCATAAAGAGTAGAATGAAAACAAGAAATGAAAACATAGCTGAAAAAGCAGCACAAATACAATTATGTCGACAAACAGCGCTCTTTACAAAAAAACAGACATTGGTTAACAATAGAAGGGTAAGGTAGGTTACAGGGAATTTATTAGGTATAGCTTCGTTTTTATCTTAAACTGGTTGAGAGAGGTACAGTCTTTAACATGGTTGGGAAGGTCATTCCACATTTTGGGCCCCTTGATTTGTAGAGCATTTCTAGTTTGATTAAGTCGTACTCTAGGAATATCAAAACTGTATTTATTTCTGGTGTAGTGCTCATGGGTTCTGTTACAACCTTCTATGAAGCTTTTGAGATCAGGATTGGCATTATAGTTTAGCATTTTATATATGTATAATACACATGAGAGAATGTGCAGTGACTTAATGTCTAACATATTCAGAGATTTGAGTAGGGGTACCGAGTGATGTCTGGGGCCAGAGTTGGATATTGTCCTAATTGCAGCTTTGTGTTGAGTAATTAGAGTACGTAAGTGATTTTGGGTAGTAGAGCCCCAAGCACAAATACCATAGTAATAAACACTAATACTAATAATTGAAAATTTATATTAAAAAAATTAATAATACTTAACACTAATAATTGAAGCCCTTTCTTGCTCTTGCTTGTAATCACTAATCAAGCTAGGAAGCATCTAACTATCCTATGCACAACAGCAAACACCTATATTCCTAGGTACAGCATAGGAGAGCCATGAATTCTGTGGTATAGGGGTCATAAAGCTAAGCAACTACAGAGTATACTGAAATTTAGAACAGATCAGAAAAAATCAGAAAATAGGCTAAAGATTTCTTGAATTTACCTTGCCTCAACATCTTAAAAGATGTTAGAATTCTGTCTAACATCTTAAAAGATGTTAGACAGAATTTAAAAATAATTGTAGACAAGGTACAGGATGGGAACATAGATTAGAAATATGAATGTAAGCCAGAAATAATTCTTCAAGACTCCCACCTGGCATATTATCTTTCCAGTTCAACAACTCTTCTCTGACTGTGGCCCTTTGATTCGTGTTTATTTGGTACTCTTCTTTGGTATTTGGTTTGTCTTTCAAGTCGTCAAAGTCTACCTCAATATCTAGCTTTAATGGTGAAGACCCATATAAAATGCTTTTGAGCAGAACACAAATATGCAATACAGTATACCCAACTCCCAACACCTACTGCATTATATAAGTGACTTTTACTAAGTTAATATGTGACATAGTAAGTTACTATGATATTTTCATAGAATTATCAAGTAATACAAATATTAATTTCCTCCTCTCTAAAGCCAAAATGTCTGAAATATATATACCCTCTCCAGATGCTCCACTATTCACTCCTTTATCATTTTTATCAGACTCTTAGATGCCAGCTGCTTTTTCATAACCTTTAACTAGTTTCCCTTATAGTTTTTTGTCATATTGTTCCCAGAAATGTTCAATATTAACTGAGTTGTGCATGTTGCAGGAGTTTAGCCGAAGACCTATCACCATGACCCCAGTGTCTTGAGCTGATCATGCCATAGGTGATGCGTAGTGTTTGTAGTGTTGAGAAGGGTAGCCTTAAGTGTAGAACATGCTGGTGTGTGTGTGGTGCTGTTAATGAGAGCAGGTGTACTTGAGGCATCCCTGGACATGAAGATGACAGTGAGGTGTAAGAATATGTGGGCCAGTGTGGTTGGGTGATGTGACAATAGGAGTTCTGATGTTGGCAGTTATGGTGTTGGAAGTAGGAGGCTACTTTTGAGATTGAAGCCGAATTTGTTAAAAAAAAAAAAAAATAATTCCCATAAATATATCAGGTGCACAGCCATTGGTATGGGCTAAGTGTGATTAGTCAAGGTTGAGAGAGGTCCACTTACCAAAGGGTGCCAGAAGTGTATACACTTACCAGTGAGTGTGCCAATAGTGTGTAATTACCCAAGTGTAGTTACAGGATGAGAGCTATGCTCGTGGTGTCCCGTCATCCCAGCACTCTTTGTCAGATAACACTTTGAAACTACTGACGGTTTTAGTCTTCACCACCTTCTAACCTAACTTGTTCCAACCGTTTGCCACTCTGTTTGTGAAAGTGAATTTTCTTATATTTCTTTGCACTTACTAGAGTGTGTAACTACACTCACTACACAGTAGTAAGTGTAGTTACCAGAGTGAGTGTGTCAGAAGTGAGCACACTTACCAAAGTGAGTGTGTCAGAAGTGAGTACACTTACCAGAGTGACTGTCAGAAGTGAGTACACTTACCAGAGTGACTGTGTCAGAAGTGAGCACACTTACCAGAGTGAGAGTGCCAGAAGTGAGTACACTTCCCAGAGTGAGAGTGCCAGAAGTGAGTACACTTCCCAGAGTGAGAGTGCCAGAAGTGAGTACACTTACCAGAGTGAGAGTGCCAGTAATGTGTGCCAGGGTTGTCTGCCAAGAAGTGGTATCTGGGAATCATAAGTAGACTTTAAGACATTCATGTTTCCTGCAAGTTGGTAAATATTAATTATTAAAAGATACTAGCAGTAGGTATGAATAATTATTATAACAAACTCTGTTTTCAGACAACACACAGTCCCTCTTTTTAAATCCCTAAACATGCTAAACATACACTCAATCCACACATTCTCTGTTGCTATTTACATGTACCAAACCTTATTCCTAAACACTTCCTAAGAGTATTGACAAATTAAAATTTCATTCTCATAGTTTCCAACCTTGTGCTTCAAACTCACACTGTATCTTGTGCTACCCACTTTCCAAATATTAGCTCTTAAGACATATCTTCAACAGTGTAATCATCTCTGTCAATTTAGATTGTAGTTATATGTTGATATAAAATTTTGATACAATGTACCTTTTCATCTTACCTAATATTTCAGATTAAGGACCTGCACAAAATGCTATGAGTGTTAGTGGCTTTGCAAGAATGTAAAAATACTAATCTTATGTAATCTCACAAACTCATTGTACCTTCTAGTAAATACAAATTATTATTATTATTATTATTAAAAGACTCAAAGCCCCAGGTTTGGATGGAATTCAGTCCAGAGTCATAAAGGAACTAACATTGGAACTGTGCCAACTACTGAAACTGCTTTTCAGGAAATCTCTGTACCAAGGGATAGTATCCATAGATTGGAAATATGCAAATGTCACTCTTGTTTTAAAAAAAGGCAGAAAGAGCTCAGTAGAAAACTACCATCTGATCAGCTTGACATCACACATCAGCAAGCTCATGGAGAGAATCCTAAGTAAAGGAATCATTCACCATCTCACAGCAAACAATCTTGAGAAAATTGACGCAACATAGCTTTGTTAAAAATATATCCTGGCTTACAAACCTGCTCACATTTTTGGAAAGGGTAACCAGCTTCTCAGACAAAGGACTTCTTGGGGATGTACAGTAGTATACATGGATTTTGCTAAAGCTTTTGATAAGGTACCACATGAAAGACTAGCATGGAAATTACAGGCACATGGAATATATGGTAAAATACAGTACTAGAATGGATAAAACAAGGAAAGCAGAGAATAATGCTAAATGGGAATGAATCTGCCTGGAAAAATATGGCGAGTAGAGTACCACATGTGTTCATTTTGAGGTCAACACTTTTTGTCTTATACATCAATGTCATAGATATCGATAGATATTTTAATATCGGAAAATGCATGACATTTGCATGTGGGACATAACAACCCATGTCACAATTACCAAATTAAAAACATTACCCTGCAGCAGATCGATGAAAAAAAGAACTTTAGAGTCAAAATCCACAATTCACTGAGAGTTGCACAACAGGTAGGAGCAGCAGAAAAAAAAGCTAACCAAACCCTAGTAATAATCAAGCATACCTTTAACTTTAAGGAAAGGTGATGATTCAACTGTACAAATCTCTGGTGCATCCCCACTTGAATTATTGTATCCAAGCATGGATAACTCATCTTCAGAAGGACATAGCTGCTTTGGAGAAAGTACAGCACCGGGCGACAAAAATCATTCTAGAATTAAATCGTCTCTCATACCAGGAACACTGCAAACCAGTCCTGACAGGGCGGATCTCATCAAGACCTTTAAAATACTGAATAATTTGGAGGATGTTAATCCAGACAATTTCTTTAAAAGATTAGATGTAATATAAACAAGGAGCAATGGTTTCAAGATCAGCAAGCCACAATGTAGGACTGCTTTTTCGCCCACAGGGTTATAAGCCCATAGAATTGCCTACCCGCTGAAGCTGTAAATGCCAAGACTCTGTTAAATTTAAAAATACAGCTGGAACAAATCATCAGGGCAAATGTGGGGACCTTAAACAAAGCCACCAGCTCCGTGTCCTCGTCAAGGCCAGTAGTGTTAGTGACCCTAAAGTAAATTTGGGTAAATTAACTCATCATACCTGCCCATCCAGTTACCATTAAATTTACTTACCTGAATATGTTTGATGGGCACCGTCCTCAATGGGGACAGAAAGACAGTGGCTAATGAAAGGTTTTGAACTGAAGTTACCTGTATATCTTGGCATTTACAGCTTCAGCGGATAGATGAATTATCAAAATTATCTGAAGTCTGCTCTCTTGTCTTACAATTTGTCAAGTTTTCACATACAACACCTGCATTTAAGATTCATATATAAGAGTGGGACACATCTCTTCCTGGCTTATTCTTCCTAACCAGGAATTAAATTATTTCACCAGCGACTTTCCTTTCCTGACATATGTTTTCAGCTTTGCTTGCACACACTTCTTTTTTTTTGTCAATTACTCTTCCCAAATAGTTTAACTGATTATTTGTCTATTAGCACTAATTTACCTGAATTTACCTGATGGCCATAATGGAGACAGGAAGCCGGTAGCTAGACAAACGTCCCCCATTTTTCCGAGGATTTGTTCCAACTGGATTTTGAACTGCAGTAATGTCTTGGCATTTATAGTTTTGGTCGGTAGATAGTTCCAAGGATTTATTATCCAATGGGTGAAAAAACATCTAATGTTTTCTGTCCTACATTGTGGCTTGTTGAGCTTGAAGCTGTTGTCCCTTGTAATTATTACATTTGACCTTTTAATTAAAATGGTCTGGACTAATATCCTTCAATTCGTGATTTATTTTAAAAGTTTCTGTGAGATCTGTCCTGTCATGTCTGGTTGCATAGTTGTTAGACCTGTGGCCATCAACTTTCCTAGTGTGAGTCAACTTAAATGGGACGATTTTTGTTACTCTGCATTGTACCAATGCAGATACGTATCCAATGCAGATACATCCTTCTGAAGATAAGTCTCCTTCCTTGAATAGAGTAGTCCAAATGTGGGTGTACCAAAGATTTGTACAGTTGAATCACCACTTTTATTTGAAGACAAAGATTCGTTTGACTATTCTTGGGATTTGGTTGACTTTTTTACTGCAGCTTCCACTTGTTGCACAACTTTCATTGACTAATGGATAGTGATTCTTAGGTATTTTTCCTCTTCAATCTGCTGCATGGTACTGTTGTTACTTTGATAGTTGTGATGTGTACATGCCATATGTGCACGGTCTTGCATTTTTCAATATTAAAGCACATTTGCAGTTTTCTGATCATTTGTGTAGTTCTTGTAGATTTCCTTGCAAGGCCTCAGTATTATTTTCACTTCCTACTTTACCAATCTTAATGCCATCTCCAAATTTTATGATGTGATTTTTAATAGTCCATGTCATTGATGCATATGAGAAAAAGAGTTGGCCCCAAAATGGAACCTTGTGATACCCCACTTAACACATTTCTTCAGTCTGATTCATTTCCATTTAGGATGACCTTTTGCTTTCTTTGTTTTAACCATTGTTTAATTGATTCTAGTGCTTTTCCATTTATTCTATCTACTTGTAATTTCCTTACGAGTCTTTTATGTGATATCTCATCAAAATCTTCTGTGAAGTCTATGTATCTACATTTACTGGAAGTCCTGGTATAATCTAAAGATTATATTATATTGGATAATATTGGTGCCATAAATGAAGAAGTAGGTGAAGAAGGGGGATGTCACCTGAAAGTGGTGCCATCAGTGTGGGGAACTAATGAAGAAGGGGATGTCACCTGAAAGTGGTACCAACAGTGTAGGGAACTAGGTAAAGAAGGGGAATGTCACCTGAAAGTGGTGACATCAGTGTAGGGATCTAGATGAAGAAGGGGGTGTCACCTGAAGTTAGTGTCATTAATGGAAACTAGATGAAGAAGGGATGTCACCTAAAGGTGGTGTCATCAATGCATAACTAGGTGAAAAAGAGGATGCTACCTGAAGGTGGTTCCAGCATGAATGGGACATTGTGTGAGGAATGGGACACCATCCATGTAAGGGGTACCCAACTGATGAAGTCCATGCCAGTGGATAGAAGTAGAATCGCTGCCCAGTTCGTTGACCACATCAACTACAAGCTCATCCCCAACACACACCTGACAAAAGAAGCATTGGATGGTATTGCTTATAAAGTATATATATATATATGTACGATACAATATTACCAATTGTGCATTTATCTCTTAATTTGTAGTTCGATCCATAAGTCAATAAATATATATATATCCACCAAATTTGTCTTTTAACAGTAAATCACTAGGAAAATTAACATGAACCAGCTTAGAAATTTGATTGATACAGAATGCTTTGCTTGCTGGTGGAAATGGATTTTGGGAAGTAGGAACAGTATATACTAGTTTTGGGAACTAGGCATGTGCTAGTTTTGAGAACTATATATATGCTGGTTCTGAGTACTACTGTTGTGGTAGTGTGTGCTTGTGGTGGTAGTGTGTGGTGGTGGTGGAAGTGTGTGGTGGTGGTTGCAGTGTGTATATGCTAGTTTTGATAACTAGGTATACGCTGGTTCTGAGTACTAGATATATATGCTGGTTTGGGGAACTAAGTACAGTATACACTAAGGCTGTACCAGAATTTACACTCGGGAAACACAAGGTGATGCCATCCATAATTATAACAAATAAATAATATTAATTCCAAGAAAGTTGACAAAGGATAGTTAATACTGTAAATGTCTCCATTAGCAAAATGGAAGATAAAAGAATGGAAAATTAAGAAATTGGTAAATGCCGAATACCCCAATGTTGAGTACCCCAATCTCTGGTTTTGCTCATAGGATATTTAACTGAATTTACCTGAGGGGGCACTTACACTGTTGTGGCCTCCACAAAGGACAGGAAGTTGGTGGCTTGTCAAAGGTGTCCCCCATTTGCTCTGATGATTTTTTCCAGCTGGATATGAATCCTGTATAAAACTCCCCCACCCCCCATTACACATGTATAAAAGCTACAAGCCAAACTACAAGTACTGGTATCTGTATGTAATATTCACTTATGTACTATTCATAGTACAGTATGTGTTATCCATTACTCACTGCCAGGTGAACAGAGGCATTAGGTGAAAGGAAATGTGCCCAACCATTTCTGGCCCCGCCTGGAATTCAAACCCGGCATTCTTGATTGTGTGTCAAGAACGAATCAGACTGCACTAATGGGACTTTTTTTAATATATGTACTATACCCACATGTATGGAATACTACTGTAATCCTGTATGTGCTACTACTACTCACGTGCAAGGAAGGTTCAGGTAGTCTCTACTCACGTGCAGGGAAGGTCCAGGCAGTCTCTACTCACGTGCAGGGAAGGTCCAGGTAGTCTCTACTCACGTGCAGGGAAGGTCCAGGTATAGTTCTACTCACGTGCAGGGAAGGTCCAGGTGGTCTCTACTCACGTGCAGGGAAGGTCCAGGTATAGTCTACTCACGTGCAGGGAAGGTCCAGGTATAGTTCTACTCACGTGCAGGGAAGGTCCAGGTATAGTTTCTACTCACGTGCAGGGAAGGTCCAGGTATAGTCTCTACTCACGTGCAGGGAAGGTCCAGGTATAGTCTACTCACGTGCAGGGAAGGTCCAGGTATAGTTTCTACTCACGTGCAGGGAAGGTCCAGGTATAGTCTCTACTCATGTGCAGGGAAGGTCCAGGTATAGTCTCTACTCATGTGCAGGGAAGGTCCAGGTATAGTCTCTACTCACGTGCAGGGAAGGTCCAGGTATAGTCTCTACTCACGTGCAGGGAAGGTCCAGGTATAGTCTCTACTCACGTGCAGGGAAGGTCCTGGTATAGTCTCTACTCACGTGCAGGGAAGGTCCAGGTATAGTCTCTACTCATGTGCAGGGAAGGTCCAGGTATAGTCTCTACTCACGTGCAGGGAAGGTCCAGGTAGTCTACTCACGTGCAGGGAAGGTCCAGGTATAGTCTCTACTCACGTGTAGGGAAGGTTCAGGTATAGTCTCTACTCACGTGCAGGGAAGGTCCAGGTATAGTCTCTACTCACGTGCAGGGAAGGTCCACCAGGTAGTCTCTACTCATGTGCAGGGAAGGTCCACCGGTAGTCTCTACTCACTTGCAGGGAAGGTCCAGGTGTAGTCTCTACTCACGTGCAGGGAAGGTCCAGGTATAGTCTCTACTCACGTGCAGGGAAGGTCCAGGTATAGTCTCTACTCACGTGCAGGGAAGGTCCAGGTGGTCTCTACTCACTTGCAGGGAAGGTCCAGGTGTAGTCTCTACTCACGTGCAGGGAAGGTCCAGGTAGTCTCTACTCACGTGCAGGGAAGGTCCAGGTAGTCTACTCACGTGCAGGGAAGGTCCTGGTATAGTCTCTACTCACGTGCAGGGAAGGTCCACCAGGTAGTCTCTATTCACGTGCAGGGAAGGTCCAGGTATAGTCTCTACTCACGTGCAGGGAAGGTCCAGGTAGAGTCTCTACTCACGTGCAGGGAAGGTCCAGGTAGTCTCCGGTTGACAGTAACGAGAGCTCGCTCGTACCCGTCCGCGGCAGCACAGTGGGGGCGGGAGCAGTCACTCACGTTGAAGGGACAGTCGTGACACGCCTTGCTCATGGTGATGTACCATTCTACCTGTAACGTGGTCAATTCAACCTTGGTTGTTAAACGGTTTGGCAGTTCGTATTCCGGGGAATATATTACGGTTAATTTAAGGACCTGCCCGAAACGCTATACGTGCTGGTGGCTGTACAATAATGTAAGAACTCTTGTCACTACTCTGTATGTGTCTGTATATATAAAAATAAAAAATAAATGCCTTCCTAAATTTAAACGGCCCTGTAATAATAAACCTCTATTTCCAGTAAAAGAAAATACTTTTCATTTTACTTTACAAGCGAGATACCATTTTCTGTCCAAAGTTTGGTAAACTCCACAGTAATTATAAAAATTCCTAAATTAACAGTCGTGCAATGAAATATTAGTATTTCAATTTAATAGCAAATATATTTTAAAATAAATGTTGTTAAAAATGAATAAATTAATGAATAGTAGCAAAATAATTGTGCATAAAATACTAATATTAGTAAAATTTAAGGAATTTGCAACATTAATATACAACACTCATTCCTCATTCACTTACGGGCTATTCATGTACGTGCTACCTTTTGGGTGGCTTAATCTTCATCAATCATCATTATTCATCACCAAGACGGGAGACATCTCCCTACACACACACACACACACACACACACACACACTCTCTCTCTCTCTCTCTCTCTCGTACCGGCTCTTGATACTGGTAATGGTTTAAAAGGGCCACTACGGGCTATTCATGCCCGTACCACCTTTTGGGTGGCTTAATCTTCATCAATCAATCAATCTACACCCATCATACCCAACAACGTGTCCGTTCCATCTAGGTGGCAAATTCTTCATCAATAATACTTTCCTCTCGGTACACTAAGAGTTATGTTATATGAATTTATATATATATATATATATATATATATATATATATATATATATATATATATATATATATATATATATGCAAACAAGCCTGAATGGTCCCCAGGACTATATACAACTGAAAACTCACACCCCAGAAGTGACTCGAACCCATACTCCCACAACTGGTATGTACAGGGACGCCTTAATCCGCTTGACCATCACGACCGGACATAAGGAAGTGATAGCCGAGGCTATTTGAACCACTTCCCCGCCGGCACTCGGATGGTAATCTTGGGCATAGCATTTTATCAAATCACCCCATTCTTTGGGGCACACGTGAGGAACACAAATGCAAACAAGCCTGAATGGTCCCCAGGACTATATACAACTGAAAACTCACACCCCAGAAGTGACTCGAACCCATACTCCCACAACTGGTATGTACAGGGACGCCTTAATCCGCTTGACCATCACGACCGGACATAAGGAAGTGATAGCCGAGGCTATTTGAACCACTTCCCCGCCGGCACTCGGATGGTAATCTTGGGCATAGCATTTTATCAAATCACCCCATTCTTTGGGGCACACGTGAGGAACACAAATTCATTTGTGTTCCTCACGTGTGCCCCAAAGAATGAGGTGATTTGATAAAATGCTATGCCCAAGATTACCATCCGAGTGCCGGCGGGGAAGTGGTTCAAATAGCCTCGGCTATCACTTCCTTATGTCCGGTCGTGATGGTCAAGCGGATTAAGGCGTCCCTGTACATACCAGTTGTGGGAGTATGGGTTCGAGTCACTTCTGGGGTGTGAGTTTTCAGTTGTATATAGTCCTGGGGACCATTCAGGCTTGTTTGCATTTGTGTTCCTCACGTGTGCCCCAAAGAATGGGGTGATTTGATAAAATGCTATGCCCAAGATTACCATCCGAGTGCCGGCGGGGAAGTGGTTCAAATAGCCTCGGCTATCACTTCCTTATGTCCGGTCGTGATGGTCAAGCGGATTAAGGCGTCCCTGTACATACCAGTTGTGGGAGTATGGGTTCGAGTCACTTCTGGGGTGTGAGTTTTCAGTTGTATATAGTCCTGGGGACCATTCAGGCTTGTTTGCATTTGTGTTCCTCACGTGTGCCCCAAAGAATGGGGTGATTTGATAAAATGCTATGCCCAAGATTACCATCCGAGTGCCGGCGGGGAAGTGGTTCAAATAGCCTCGGCTATCACTTCCTTATGTCCGGTCGTGATGGTCAAGCGGATTAAGGCGTCCCTGTACATACCAGTTGTGGGAGTATGGGTTCGAGTCACTTCTGGGGTGTGAGTTTTCAGTTATATATATATATACATACAATGTTTGGTCAACTGCGACAACTTCCCCAGGACGCAGCCCACTACACCACTACTTCCCAGCTCCTTATTTGAAATGAACAACACCATCAGGTGCAATGAAACACTGAGGGGAGTCGAACTCGGGATCATTCGGTTGTGACCCGACTACACCATAGCCACTGCATCCATCTTTCTCACACACACTGTAACTGTCAAATCTTTATTGTACAAAGTAAAATCATATACATGACACGGAATCTTAAAAAAAAAATAATTGCTAACATTGCTAACAATTATAGAGTCAGTAGAGGCTTCTATATATAATGTTCTCCCATACATAATGAGAGGAGTCAAGATGACGTTTGGAGGGCAAGAGGTTTGAGGAGGACCTGAAGCTTTGGAGGAGGCGTGGAGGAGGAGGTTCATAGTTAAGACGTTATTAAAATGCAAGTTGAATGACTGAAATAACAATGAGTTACCGAAGGGGTTGGGGGAGGGGGTATAGTGTGGTAAATGGAGCTGAGTGACCGACCTTGAAGGTGTAGTTGCAGACCCGGGAATCACCGGCCACGCAGTCCCTCACACAAGGGTGAGAGAGGTCCTGGAGGGTCTCCACCGTGTCTACCAGGCTCTGGGTCACCGTCTCTGTGGAGGAAATGGTTTTGGCTCTTCATTTGTCATGCACTCCATACCCATCCTGAGAGTGGTAGTGGACTCTATACCCATCCTGTGAGTGGTAGTGGACCCCCATACTCATCCTGTGAGTGATAGTGGACTCTATACCCATCCTGGGAGTGGTAGTGGACTCTATACCCATCCTGTGAGTGGTAGTGGACCCCCATACTCATCCTGTGAGTGATAGTGGACTCTATACCCATCCTGGGAGTGGTAGTGGACTCTATACCCATCCTGTGAGTGGTAGTGGACCCCCATACTCATCCTGTGAGTGATAGTGGACTCTATACCCATCCTGGGAGTGGTAGTGGACTCTATACCCATCCTGTGAGTGGTAGTGGACCCCCATACTCATCCTGTGAGTGATAGTGGACTCTATACCCATCCTGGGAGTGGTAGTGGACTCTATACCCATCCTGTGAGTGGTAGTGGACCCCCATACTCATCCTGTGAGTGATAGTGGACTCTATACCCATCCTGGGAGTGGTAGTGGACTCTATACCCATCCTGTGAGTGGTAGTGGACTCTATACCCATCCTGTGAGTAGTAGTGGACCACATACCCATCCCTGTGAGTAGTAGTGGACCTCCATACTCATCCTGTGAGTGGTAGTGGACCCCAAACACATCCTGGGAGTGGTAGTGGACCGCATACCCATCCCTGTGAGTGGTAGTGGACCCCCATACTCATCCTGTGAGTGGTAGTGGACCCCCGTACTCATCCTGTGAGTGGTAGTGGACCCCATTCCCATCCTGTGAGTGGTAGTGGACCATGTACTCATCTTGTGAGTGGTAATGTACCCCTTTATTTATATATTTACTTATTTATATATCTATTTATTTATTTATATACAAGAAGGCACACTAGGGATAAGAAGGTACATAGCAATGATGATTTTACATTCATGTAAAGCCACTAGCACGCATAGCGTTTCGGGCAGGTCCTTAATCTAACAGTTAATTTCAAGTAGGTAATTTCGAGCAAAACTGACAAAAAAATTTACAGGTACATTGTAAGAAAATTTGACACAATACACAAAGATTAGATTATTACATAATAATGACACTACACGATAATGACACTACACAATAATGACAATACACGATAATGACACTACACGATAATGACAATACACGATAATGACACTACATAATAATGACAATACACGATAATGACACTACACAATAATGACAATACACGATAATGACACTACACGATAATGACAATACACGATAATGACACTACATAATAATGACAATACACGATAATGACACTACATAATAATGACAATACACGATAATGACACTACACAATAATGACAATACACGATAATGACACTACACGATAATGACAATACACGATAATGACACTACATAATAATGACAATACACGATAATGACACTACATAATAATGACAATACACGATAATGACACTACATAATAATGACAATACACGATAATGACACTACACAATAATGACAATACACGATAATGATAAAGATTAGTAGGTACATAAGAGTAAAATTTGAGGGTTATCAACTGGTTCATTGTAGCACAATTTGAGGATCATTTTAAGGTATAATGCAGTAAAATATGCACTCAATATAGCAACCATGATATAAGGTGACAGCAATGACAACAAGGGTAAAGATTGTATGGCTCAGGTACATATATTGGGAGTTTGGGAAGCACTATCTTATCTTGAGATGATTTCGGGGCTTTTTAGAGTCTCCGCGGCCCGGTCCTCGACCAGGCCTCCACCCCCAGGTGCTTAAGCAGCCCGTGACAGCTAACTAACACCCAGGTACCTATTTTACTGCTAGGTAACAGGGGCATAGGGTGAAAGAAACTCTGCCCATTGTTTCTCGCCGGCGCCCGGGATCGAACCCAGGATCACAAGTCCAGCGTGCTGTCCGCTCGGCCGACCGGCTCCTTAACCGAGCACTAGATCCAGTGCGAGTATAAAGCACTAGATAGGAAACTATGATGATGAAATTAGGTACTTTTTGGTTTTATTTATGAATAAGGCAAGAGTTGGACACTTTTCAATTCGTTAGGGAGTGAGTTCAATAGACAAGGTCCCTTTATTTGCATAGAGTATTTACACAGATAAAGTTTGAATCTGGGGATATCAAAGAGATATTTATTTCTGGTGTGGTGATTATGGGATCTATTACATGTGTCCAAGGAGAGTTTCAGAGCAGGGTTTGTATTTAAGAACATGGTTTTGTAACTGTAAATGGCACAAGAGAACGTGTGGAGTGAGTTTATGTTTAGCATGTTTAGGGATTTAAACAGAGGGCTGAGTGTTGTCTGAAAACAGTTTGCTACTGTTCTGAAAGCAGATTTTTGTTGGGGTAGTTTACATTGGTTGAACCCCATGCGCAGACACCATATGTAAGATGTGGATAGATTGGCGCGTAAAATAATGAGAGGATAGCAGGGTTTGAAACAAAATCTGATTTTTTGAGAGTATACCAACTGTTTTAGAGACTTTCTTGGTTATGTGTTGTATGTGGATGCTGAAGTTGAGTCTCTTGTCTAAGTATAGGCCAAGGAATTTTCCATAATTTTTATTGCTGATGTTAACATTGTCTAAGAGTATCGCTCTCTTTGGACACCGATCATGTCCATTTTTCTCTCGAGTCCTAGCCGTGGACAGGACTCGCGTCCACTACAAAAATATTTGTATAAAATTAATTTTTTATCCGATCGACCTCGGGATAGTTTCAAAATAAGCGCCTTTAGAATGCGCACAATTTGATACCAAAATGAAAGGTGTAACACGAAACGTGATGTTAGAACACTTGAAATATTATAAATAGGTTTTTGTGTCTATATTTTAAATTTTAAAATATTTGTTAAAATTCTATTTATATTGCTATTATTATGGGACTAGTTTTAAAATGTGCACCTTTATATTGTGAACAAATTGATACCAAAACGAGCGATGTAACATGAAAATTGATGTCAGAACACTGGAAAGATATAAATAATTTTGATGATGAGCGTCCAAAATTAAAATATTTGTTAAAATTCCATTTTTTTTTTTTGAGATATATACAAGAGTTGTTACATTCTTGTACAGCCACTAGTACGCGTAGCGTTTCGGGCAGGTCCCTGGAAAACGATCCCCGCCGCGAAGAATAATTTTTTCATCCAAGTACACATTTTACTGTTGCGTTAAACAGAGGCTACAGTTAAGGAATTGCGCCCAGTAAATCCTCCCCGGCCAGGATACGAACCCATGACATAGCGCTCGCGGAACGCCAGGCGAGTGTCTTACCACTACACCACGGAGACTGTTGCTCTATTATTGCTCTATTATTATGAGACTAGTTTTAAAATGCGCGCCTTTATATTGCGAACAATTTGATACCAAAACGAGCTATGTAACATGAAAATTGATGTTATCAAACTGAACGAGTATACACATTAGGCTGTGGTGTGCAAATTGGTACTCGTTCACGGGTAATTTTAGGCTTGCTGCGGGGAGTCTCACCAGGCTTTTGGACATTATATACATATACATCTGCAGGGAATGTAATTGCGAACACAAAGAAACGAAAACGAACGACGTAGCACGAGAATTAAGGTGAGAAAACTGAAACGAGTATACACTTTTTACTGATTTTGTGAGCTCACGGGTAACTTTCCAGAATTAAGGCTTTGCTGTGGGGAGTCACGCCGGACTTTTGGACATTATATGTATATACATCTGCAGGGAATTTAATTGCGAACACAATGATACCAAAACGAACGACATAGCACGAAAATTATTAAGGTGAGAAAACTGAAATTCTGAAGCTGAATTGCATTTGTTGATTTGCTTCCAAATAAGATATAGTAGGTCTTTTCTATGTTTAGTGTGAGTTTGTTGGTTGACATCCATAAGTGGACTCTTTTTAGTTCGTTATTTACATTATTTAATATGTGTGGTTTGGATATACCCATTCTGTGAGTGGTAGTGGACCCCCATCAACCCGTTCTCGCACTTTCGTATAGTCAATATTGACTTATTAAATACGTGCATATGTGACATATTAAACATCCTAGTTTACCTTGAAAAGCTTCATAGAAAACACCGACCTTACCTAACCTTCTTAGTATGTTAAGATAGGCATCTTATTGCTTCGTAATTACAATTATTACTTAACCTATACCTATAATAGGTATAGGTTAAGATTACAATTATTACTTAACCTATACCTATAATAGGTTAAGTAGTAATTGTAATTACGAAGCAATAAGATGCTTATCTTAACATACTAAGAAGGTTAGGTAAGGTCGGTGTTTTCTATGAAGCTTTTCAAGGTAAACTAGGATGTTTAGTATGTCACATATGCACGTATTTAATAAGTCAATATTGACTATAAGAAAGTGCGAGAACGGGTTGCCCCCATACCCATCCTGTGAGTGGTAGTGGACCCCATACCCATCCTGTGAGTGGTAGTGGACCCCCATACCCATCCTGTGAGTGGTAGTGGACCCAATACCCATCTTGTGAGTGGTAGTGGACCCCATACTCATCCTGTGAGTGGTAGTGGACCCCATACCCATCCTGTGAGTGGTAGTGGACCCCATACCCATCCTGTGAGTGGTAGTGAACCCCATACCCATCCTGTGAGTGGTAGTGGACCCCATACCCATCCTGTGAGTGGTAGTGGACCCCATACCCATCCTGTGAGTGGTAGTGGACCCCATATTCATCCTGTGAGTAGTAGTGGACCCCATACCCATCCTGTGAGTGGTAGTGGACCCCATATTCATCCTGTGAGTAGTAGTGGACCCCATACCCATCCTGTGAGTGGTAGTGGACCCCATACCCATCCTGTGAGTGGTAGTGAACCCCATACCCATCCTGTGAGTGGTAATAGAAAAGGTTACAGAGGGACACAAAGGGCTCAGGAACTGAACCCCAGAAACAAAGTCACAGAGTTTAGTAAATATACTATAGCGAGTATATTATG